CAGACCATCTGCTAGTCGTTTGAGGAAAAAACTGAACTCCGGTGCCAAAACACCATCAATTGAAGTGACAAGTGGAGTGAAAGACATGTGCTTTTCTTCACAAGCTGTCCATACTTATTTTTCTTCTCAATCTATGCAGTTTTCAGTACATTCATGGGATTGCGGTTTTGGTAAGACGGAGCGTCAGTGTCTGTAACACGGATGTCGAACGACGCAGCCGATTGTCTATCCCAAACCCCACGAGCTGAAAGATCTGCAATTGGTGCCGGGGTTCCATTTTCTACATCTGGTTCTTTTACGACAGGTTCTCTTTTCTCATCTTTCCACAAAATTGAAGCAAGATCGCCCTCTGCGTCTCTTATTTCGTTGTGTCGTAGTGTTACCAGTCCGCTTTTCTTGCAAGAAAGTGCATGCTGTAAGTCAAAATCTTGTTGACATCCATCGCATCTCGAGAAAGAACGTTTGAGTGGTTTTCTGTACCTGACACATAGAGCGTCTCTGAACTCTGTGGCTGACAAATCAAAATTATCTTTCAACAAGGGCAGCGAAGTTAGCCACAAGGAACAGTTGTTGTCGATTATTCTCCGGATCGCTCGTTTCTGATCTGCTGGTAAAACTGCAAGCAATTCATCGAGTTTATCTTTGTCCGCAGCATTTTGTTTCTCCTCGTTGTTTTTTCTTGCTTCTCTCATCTTTGTTTTGTGTAAAGTTTGGTCGAGATCATAAAGTTTGGTCGAGATCATCTTGGTGGAGGATCGAACTCATGAGACAGTCGGTTGCTTCACGTGAAGTGGAAAATGCTAGTTTGGCACCTTCTATTGGATTTCGCACACCTAGTCCCCCTCTTTTGACAGGAAGTGAATACAAAACACGATCTGAGTGTGTGACACTAGAAGTTCCTAGTAAGCTTGGCAAAAACTTTTCCTCCAACATCTTCTCGAGAGGAGCAAACATCTGCGACGTATCTTTGACTACTCTCTGGACAAAATTCCATTCGCAATGCAGTGATCTTGTTAATCCAACTAAAGCAGCTTGAGGTTCTTTTTCTGCCACTTTGGACAACTCGCCAAGACAATCCAACCATTCTTGGACCTTTTTTGTAGTGAAACGAATTTTGCCTTCATCAGAGCCAATAAATCCGCCCAAATATCTTCTACCTTCAACTATTCTGATGCCGAACCTGTCAAACAATTGATGAGCTTTTTCAACAAAGTTCGAGTGAACAACCAAATAACTTTTGCTTGGCTCGGGGTAATAGCCATACTTCGGACCTTTTTCAGTCAAAGATGACAACCATTCAACCAGGTTTTCTAGTGCGCCGAGAGCTGCCGAATCATCTGCATACCATGTTTGTAAATACTTATCTCGGTCTTTGAGTAATTCAATCAATGGCATCAATGAAACCCCATAGAATAACATCGCTAGTGGATCACCCTGTGTAGTGCCTTCACTACTGAAAAGAAGTTCTGTCGTTCCTGCAACAATTAGCGGCGCATACCCTCTATATGTGTTGACTAGAAATCGTGAGCACCTTGGCCAAAGTATTCTAGCTTTCCATAGAGCCGTTTCCCTGTTCACCTGTTCAATGCGTTGAATGCATTTGAGGCATCCATCAATAGAAGACCATGTCCGTCCTCTTTGGTGCTATTAAACAACTCCTCCACTGCGTGTACAGCTCCACCTATTCCTGCTTTCACACCACAAGTTAGTTGTTGAGATCCACAGGTTTCTTCGAGATCTTTTTTGGTCGCTTCGGCCATACATTTACACATTACTCTTCGCAAACACTCACCTATGCCAGTGGGTCTAACTCCGGGGCACTTGTCCAAAGCGATCAGACGACCTGACATCAATGCTCGTATTTGGTTCCATGGAATAATTTCGTTCGCTATCTTTGTGATCAGCGCTGTCACTTCGTCTCTCAAAGCCGAACTGTGTCCTCCAAATCGAAGAAATGCGTCTTTCCAGTGTTCCGAATCTGTTCCTGAAGGTCCGGCTTCACCGTGCATTGACCTCGCAAATTTTTCTATATAAGAAGAAGTGATGGTTATTGTTTCTAACTCAGGCAAGCTGTCTACTTGTATTCTTGCTTCTTCTTTTGACTGTTTTGCTACGGGATGCTTTTCTTTCAGAATGTCAATGACTAATTTTCTTGTTTTTGTTGTGGAATCAATAACGTCATCATTTGGATGGAGCAAACCTCCGCCAGATCTGCTTGTCAGCCAACGCATAGCAGACCGAACTTTCCCTTCCATCATAATTCGTGCAAAAACCACTGCAGTGTGTTCGTCTTCAGATCTGTTTTTTTTCCATAGGTTTCCTCGGTTGTTTTTGTGAACGTCGTTTGGCTTCTTGTAATAGAATATAGAGAATGTGAACTATTTTCCCAGTCTTCAAGTCGTCTTCCTATCAAAGCTCTCACATACATTTGATCTTTGATTTGAACTTTTGATCGTTTTTTATTTAAAATTTTTTAATGTTCTTAACAAATACACTATCAAATCTGAGATGAAAAATTTAATTGATAGAAGTGATTGCACCGATTGCAAAAACTTTTCCTGCAGAAAGCTTTCCTTGCGAAAGCTTTTCCCGATTGCGAAAGCTTTTCCTTAATTACGTGGAAATATTCCAAAATCTAAAATATATTTTCATTTGTTTTGGTAGAGAAACAATCAAGTTTTGTTGTAGTCAGTTTTTTTAAATCACGAATTTCTTCCCGCATCATTATAACAATTTAAAAAAAAACAAATTCGTAACTTAGTTGGCCCCTAAGCCGCTTTACTTGGCCCCCTAGTTATCCTTTAACGATGTATACAAAAATATGGTTCGCCTAATTTTTTCCAACATTTTTTCTACTTATATTTTATGTTTGTTTTTAGCTCCGCTTGGCCTCTGTGTTTTAAATCGCATGGCATATTTTGCTTGAATGAAAACTATTTGAAGAAACTGCCTTGCAATTAACTTTTAAAAATAAATTCAAGCCCGCTTCTTTTTTTATTCAAGCCTGATCTGCCATGCAATGTTTAGGAGCAAAAAACAGAAAAAACCGATAAACAGCCAAAAGCAAAACTAAATCACTATTTTGAATTAGCTTTAGCTTGAAAATCAGATATATTTCAAAAATATAGTACGATTATGACAAACTTGTTGAAAACAATGTATCGGTGTGTACGATATCTTTTAAGCAGTTCTATTTTCGTGATGTTTCAATTTGTTTAGCCTCCCAGCCTGCGATAATGTTTTGACATTTATACATGCATTCACTTCAACGTACCTTCTTCACATTTTCTGGTTTTCATCAACAGTAGCGTTGTTTTTGATTTTTTAAAACAAGTTTTTTCTTCTGAGACAAATGCATGAGACTCGCTTCGAGCAATCTGTATAAAATTCCTTTCATTGTTTTTCCCTCAGAAATGCAATTACCACATTTTCGTTGACAGCGGAATCTCAAATGGTTATAAATGACAACTATCGAAATCGTCATCACAGTCTTTTTGAAAACTTTGCATCACATGGCTCGTGTGCCATAAGTTTTTTTTTAAATTAAGCAAAATGGCTGTTGCAATTAAGTCAATATAGTGTGTGCAACATACAATAAGAGTTATGCTTTTCAAATTGTTAGTTTTGTCACAGTTAACGAACAGACTGAGCAGACAAATTAACTGGGGAATCAAAGAGTGCTATCTCTGCAGAAAATATGATTATGCACTTGATCTACTTTTAAAGTCTTAAATTTTACCAGCCGTTACTTAAAGTCTTTTGAAGTTTAAAGTCTTTTTTGACTGAACAAAAACTTTCGAAGCAAAAAGATTAGGATCGGTATCAGACTAAGAAGTTGCACGAAATGATCCGGCCGAAAATAAGATAGCGTGAGGAATAGACGGTCTACTTTATCCAAAATTACTGTATGAGAAAGCCACCCTGACCTAAAAATATCTGGTGCGACCAATCAAGTCTCGCGTAGTCATATACAAACTTAGATTTAGAAAAATCGAAATTGGATTGGAAAAATTGGCCTAGACGAAAATTCACCAAAATGTTAAACCAAACCAAAATTAGCTTTAGCTTATTTGCACGTCTCAATAAGTCTAATCAAACCAAACTAATACTAAAGCCAAAACCAGGTCACAACGAAAACGACGAACCAAATGTCTACATCGCAAAGCAAAAAGGCAGACTACGACGACTATTCAACTTCAAAACTACTTACGCAGTATGTTTTTAAACATTACTATAGATACTGCAATAAGTAGAGCCGTAAAATTGATTTTATAGGTCATTTATTTTCAATATTATAAATAATCAATAATCACATCAACAACCAGGCAACAAACAAGCTTATATCCACCACAAAACGTCAAATCTGCAGTAATTTTATGAAAATTTTTAAACTTTATTGTTTTAAATACAAAAAAAATATATTTGGTAAGAAAAATTTAACGATTAATATAAAAAATTTGTTTGATACAATGCCAGTTTTACTTGATCTAATTGATTCCGATTACTAAGTTTTTCATCTGGCTTTGGTGACTAGTGAAAGTGTTTTTGACCAAGGATCAACCAACTGAAAACTGTATTGAACTGCAAATAACTTTCTAATGCTGCAAGTAGGGATGGTTTAAAGTTAGTTGACGCCATCGCAGTTAACTTTGATTTTACTGGTACAAGGTTTTCTACCAAGCCATCAGATTTCAAGATTTATAGTGTGAGCCACGATCAACTTTCAGTTTTTAGAAATCCGTGTACGTGACAGTAAACCGATTACAGGTTACATTAGAAAGAAAACACTTCATACAATTTTGGGTTTAGTGAGTTTTGAATCGCGGTTAAAACAAAGCAATAGATATTGAGTTTAAGCCTGGGGTGGTTTTCTCCTAGAGTATGAAAAATGCTCGATTCTGATTGGCTGAAATTTTCTAACTTAGAACCAAGTTAACATCCTCCCCCCAAACGGCTTTGGGGGGGGGGGTCCCGTCATTCATTGTTTCTTTATATTTCAGACCCTGAAGACCCGGACTGATGAGTTGGTGCGCGACCCAGTCAACCTGTCCTCCTCCTTCTCCAGGGGGTTCAGTCCCATGACCCCCTTCCGAGATGCCCCTGATAGGTTCCAGTGGAAATGGGTGAACCTAGAGAACCCAAGTGTGGCCAGTCTAACCAGCAGGTATAGGGGCCCGCACCGATGTTTCTCGCATAAAAAATAGATTCCCTTGAGAAAATATTATGCCGCAACTATAATTGATTATGTGTAAGTAATTTGGGCAACATTTACTGTGTATTTTCTGTTATACGGCCAAATTTATTAAATGTTGATTGAGCTTCTGTTATTGAAAACGCTGGGATCTATTTTCGCTGATATTAATTTCAACCAATCAGATTCCAGCGTCATGATCAAACTTCCAAATAGCAAAAAGAAGAGTTTTTGGACCGTATTACAGAAAAAACTCCATTTTCTATTATAATAGGGGCATCCAATATAATAATTTGCCTACGAGTGATCCATTAAGCATTTCATCACATTTATTTTATCATTTCATTCAATTTCACATTAAAAACAGCATTGAAAAATCATTTCTGCCTGTTGTGTGATGTCTCGCAAACTATTGTTCCATCCAGTGGCGGATTTAGGGAGGTGCGCAGGGGGCCCTTCCCTCTTCTCCCCTCAGGGATTCGACCCCCTGCCGACCCGAAGGGTCCCCCTTTGTACTATTTTGAGATATCCATTTTTGGCTGACTGACCTTAAAGTTTTTATAGAGGCGCTTTCGGCGGCAATCTATACTAATTTTGAGAGGGTAGCGCGCGCCGAAAAACGCAATTTTTTTTCTCGAAAATTACCAAAAATTGCCTAAAAACGCCTTTTTTAAAGAAAAAAATTTGCCGGCAGCACAGAAAATTTGGTCAAATTAGGGTCTTTATAGTGGTTTGGGAGAGCTCAGAAAATCAATTTGGTCGACCTAAAACAAAATGGTCGACAAAATTTTTCAAAATTTATTTGAAAATCCGCCCCCTCGAGAAACTCCTAGATCCGCGCCCTCTGGTTCCATCGTCAATTCTAAAAATCATATAAATAAACAAGATAAACTCAGAAGAAATAAACATTATTTAGGTTACATAAAACTAATTATAAAGTGCTTTCTTTTTTAGCATAAGCGCCTAGTATCCTCTCTCTCCCCCTTTTGCAACAGGGGCAAAGGGCAGTTTGGTGTAACTATTGCTCAGTTATATCATAATGGACATGAGATAGTATAAATAGTACGACCAAAAGGAAGTTTTGGACTCGTTTAAAAAATGCCAATCTTAAATGTCAAACTACTTTTTTGTCTGCGCTGCAGAAAGTTTGGCAAAAGATGGTCTTTCGAGGGTATTCTTATCGTCAATCCGGTTGACCGGGAAAAGTCGGCAAATATTTTATATGTATATGTTTTGGAAAATCGCCCCACTTCAAAAATCCTAGGTCCGCCCAGATTTATTTCTTGAAAATTTTGATCAAATTATGATGGGGGAAGACCTTTCGACTGCAACGCACAAAAGAGACTCCTTTTAAGTTTGATCGTCTCGCATTTGTTTAAATTTTCAAGAAACTCTATTATGCTATTGTACACTTCGAGTCAAATGAAATAAGATTAACTTAGTCAAAGATTCAATTAAGCAACAGTTGAGCATGAACTCAATCGAAAACAATCGGCGAGTTTTGCAATAAAAGTTAGGAGTGATAAACGTAATGGAGTGATAAACATTTTAAAAAGCGTCTTGACGGTTTGAGTTTGTTTTTCTTTGGGAAAAAGTAATTTCTGAATTTTGCTGTCATAGAAGTCTGAGTCTGACTGGTAGTCTGAGGAACGAGGACTTCTCTCACATAGCCCCCATTCTGCAGGCGACCAAAGTGGGGGATACCCAGACTGTCAACAGAATCATCAGTCAAGACGGTAAGAAAATCACGCCTCAATCGTTACGGGAATTGACTTCTCTAGTCAAAATTCAGGAAAATAATGGGAACAAAAATTATTTTGATAAGTTGGACGATGATGAAGTCTTTTTATATCTGAGTTTATAAAATTTGTATGCTTAATCAAGCCTTTGTGTGTGGAATTCAGAGGCGTAAAAGTAGAATTTTGTTCTTTATCATAAAATCGACCTCAGTATCGTGGTGGTTTAATTCAAATGTTTTCAACAAGTAAAACTGAATCCGGGACACAAGATTTCTTAAATGTGATCTTATGTTACGTCTACTTACAAGCGCCAGAGATCCATAGATAATAATCGTTTTCTGCCACACTGACAAAAATAGTTAAAATTGTTAAGAAAGCTAATATGAAAGTCATTAAGATCAGAAATTTAATTATCCGGGCTCACTTGAGCGATTACGAATGTATCATTCAATTCTGACAGTTTTGAAGACGTGATCACTGGATGCCTAGACAAATAGCCAACCAATCTCATGTTTTTCCCTGGGATAAGTCCTGTTTCATAATCGAATGGTAATAATCAATCTATCTGCCGAACTAACCGTAATTTTGTGGTTTTTGCGTTTTCTCTGGAACAAATAGAACTACAAGGCTTCATGATCCATTGCTACCTTAAATAGAGCCCCATACAAATAATTTTTAGCAGTGAATCTCCGCTCATACCACAGCTAGAACTCCAACTCGTTCATGCTCTACTTCAACTCCGCCTCCTTCGAAAATTTTGAAGCCTACAGAATCGGCTTTCACCTACCGGGATGTAATTGCTCAAGCGCCGCCCAAATGCCTTGTTTCGATGCGTCAAATTTCCCCCTCGTTTGTTTGTTCACATCGAAAAGATGGTTTTTGTGCAAAATCACTCACAAAATTCTTCATTATTGAAAATGGTAGTTGATGAATTGGTTCCCATTGCAACTGCGAAAGATTTCTCGTGTTTTTTCTAAATGATTAAATTGTAGTCTGAAGTAAAAGAATTAATTGGGTTAGTTGACCCAATTAAAGATCTGATGTCTATTATAATTTCAAGCTTTTTCATCTAGGCAGTCGATTCGATTTTTCGTTATTCTGGTACGGTGCCTTTAATCGATAACCAAAAATCAGCTATTCGAACTTTTTCGCAAAAAAGGTGCATTTTATTCCGCTAAGCGCCGACTTGTTTCATCTAATACTTTCAGTACTTTCTGTGTTTCATGCCAATGGCGTTTTGTTGAACCCCTGGTCACGATCCAAATCTCTTCTAAATGAACATGGACTGCTAAAGTCCTAACCTTCTAACGCGGAGTCCATCACTCGTTTTAACTTGTTAGGTACCCCCCAGCCCCCAGGCCATAGAAGCCTGTCCAAGATGCATGTGCCTGTAATACTGCCTCCGACAAAACTAAAATTACATAGCCGACTGGTTGGTTCACGAGGCAGCACCTGAGAGTGGGTGTATTTTAGATTGAAAACCAAGTCGGATTTGTCGTGTTTCGACTTACATTATTGACTAACTCCTCGTTCAAATTTGGCATTTGATATCGATTTCAATAGGTTTCGCAACTATATCACTAATCAAGCAGTGTTCACTTTATTCTAACGCTCTCTTGATGTAACCGTCTTGATATTTTAAAGTTTTCTGGCGCCCCGGTGTAAACGAACTTTGGGATAGCTTCGCTCACACTCTTTTCACATTGAATCTCTTTTTTCGCTCACCACCACGAAACGAAGTTCATTTTCGGGGCTCAATGTCTCCAAGCACAGTTGTTTTTGAATGTCTTCGCTCTGCAAGTTTAATATAACCTTATCGCAACAACCGGGTCAGATCACTTTAGATGCCAAAAGATTGCAACATGCATTGTTTATCTCGTTGTTTTCAATCGAACAGCTTAAATCTACGATTGGTTACAGAAGGTTCCTCAAGAAAGGGCCTCTCTTGGAAATTCTCACAACTGTGTGAAATTGATATCTACTATCTTCTCATGAGGTTACTCTTGGTAAAAATAACTTTGGTCTTGTTATCTTAGTGATAAAATACTTCTACTATGATCTCTTTTCAGCTTCGCCCCAGGTGCTACTTTCCAAAAACCATTTTTGATCATCTGGCCCAAAATTCTTTTCCATTGTCCAGATCTGAAATGCTGCAATTTTTGGTCCTTTTCTTTGATTTGTCCTTTTCTTAATTTGCAGTGCCCACCAACTGAAATTTATGCGCCCTGTTTCCCCTGTACCACGGTTCCTGCGAGAAGCAATGCCAAAAACCATCGGCGCCTTGAAAACTCGGTTCTATTTGTTACTGCGCCATGTAAAACTATGCTCATTTGGTACTCAGTGAAGCAACGTAACACGAACAGACGTTAAAAAAATCAACTTGAAAACTTGAAGTCAAATCGATACCATAGACCATCAATAAGGTTGACTTTCAAAATAAAATTTAGTTAAACATATAAAATTGTCATTTATCTAACTATAATTTAGGTCTCTAATACATCATGATTCTTAAAGGAAAGTTTTCGAAAGAAATGACAAAAAATATGCGTTTTAACCGATTTTGGAACAGATTTATTTATTTAATTAATTTAAATTACATTGAATGGAAGAGGATTGAAAATTTAAATTGAATCGGTCAATTTTTGTTGATTTTTTTCTAAAACAGCAAATAGGGTTATTTACGATAAATACAAAAATTGCACTTGTCAATTTAATTTTGCTGAGGAATTTCCATTGCGGGTAAATTTTATAAATAGTGAAAAAAAAACGTTTCATATCTTTTTTTGTAAGTACCTGGTCAGTTTTGCAGAGTTTTGAAAAAAGGCTGTTCAATCCTGCTGTACAAAATTGCAATCAGGCCGAGTTTTTCTCGACAAAATAGAATTTCCATGCAATTTTTGGTTTTCAGATTTTTTAGCCTTCGAGTCGATAGTTGCGAGCTGTCGGGGTACCCGACCGTTGGGTGATGAACAAATTCAATTTTCTCAAAATTTTGTGGAAGCCTGGAAGACTTGCAATGTTTTTACCTTTTTTATCCAAATCTTGACAATTAGATTATCTATTGATTTTATACGGATACTTATTGTAAGTAATGCCGATTGAGTAATGCCGATTTTGCTAATCAGAGTTCACTGTTTAACAATCTGACAAAAATATAACTGAAAATGAGTCAAAATTTTTGAAACAAGCGCACATTTAGAATATTGTTGAGGCAAAATTTTGAAAAGTTTTCGAAAATCAAAGATATTTGAAAAGTTTTCGAAGGGGCGAAATTTTATAAAGCTTTTAAAATACATAACGATTTTTTTTAGCTGATCAAATTATTTTCCTGAGCTCTATTACAACACCCCAGCTTTGAAAACTGGTGAAAACGACATTTAAGGCACTTTCAAAAAGATTTTGACATAAAATTGCGTTGGTAGACCATTAATAAACGTCGTAAAATGGATGATGATTGGTGAGAGTTTTATGGTTGCTTCTACTCCTGGATTAGGCTGATTTCGTTATCGCTCCAAGACTGACCTTTATGACGTGATCATAGGTGTGAACAGTCTCCTGAAGGTGGACGGACTGGGGAGGAACTGTGTGATGTATGCAGTGCACTACAGACAGAATGACCTGCTATCCTTCTACCTCCAGCAGCCTCTCATCAACGCCAACCTCAGAGCCCACGGTGACTACATCCTTCATCTGATCTAAGAGATCTAATTAACCATCTTCTCCCCCTATGTTGTCAAAGGATCTCTTTAACTATTCCCCCCTAGGGTACCTGATAACGAATTGCCACCCCAATAAAGAAATAATTCAATGGTTAAGCTTATGTAAAGTTTTTGTACCTAGTAACAAGTTAGTAACGAATCTCGCCCCCCCCCCTTGCAAAAAGTGGGAAATAGCTAAAGTGATCCTTATCTACTAAACAATATCCACCCCTCTAAATGAAAACACACTAGCCTTAGAGCGTTCTATGGTTAATTATAATTTTGCTGCTTTCTGGTACGGCGGAAAATTCGACAAACCTTATCTACTTAACAATCTCTCCCCTTTTTTGAAAGAGGTGGAGGGGGGTGATTGATTAGTAGATCTCTTCGCAGTGTTTTTCGCCCGTTTATGTGGTAGTTGTTTCTTCATACTTCCATACTTCGGCTAGTTCAAGCGACAATTAGTAACAGGCGACAGGTCCTAACTATAATTTAAGGGGCCAACGCTAATTTATACCAACTATTCCTCTCGTGGCGAGGATTCGTAACAGGTGATAATTCGTAACAGGCGACAATTCGTAACAGGCGAAAATTCGTAACAAGCGACAATTGGTAACAGGCGACAGGTCCTAACTATAATTTAAGGGGCCAACGCTAATTTATACCAACTATTCCTCTCGTGGCGACGATTCGTAACAGGTGATAATTCGTAACAGGCGACAGGTCCTAACTATAATTTTAGGGGCCAACGCTAATTTATGCGCACTGTTCCTCTCATGCAAAATGTAGCCCAGCTGAGCAAGCGTATTCTTCTTGCCAATGCCACGTTACAAATTGTCGCCTGTTACGAAATGTCGCCCTACCAAAATAGCTGAATTATAAAGCAACTACCATATAAATTATGGCCGAAACATCGATCAGCTACATAATAAATATGTACAAAAATTATAAATCATTTACCAAAAACATGAAAATGTTGACACAAATGACGAAAATTCTGACTGGCTTGTAAGCCCTGATAACTTTCGGGTTGTTGCAATTCGGCTGATTTATTTGAACCCAAAGGTCCCTTATCAATGAGAATAGATTCTCGTCCATGCAAACGTTCATATCCCTACCGAACAGTTTCCTTATTTCTGATAGGCCAAAAAATTTGGCATGAAGTGTTTAAATAAAGAAAAAACTTACTTGGAAATATTTTTTCTAATCTAATTTCTGATCAGAACTTTTTAAATCTAGGCTATTTCTAGTCGGTCAAAAGTGCCAGTGGTGCTCGAACAACCGATTTTGTAATGACGAGACAAACACGCAAATCGGGTAAAAGAGCTGAACGTACACTATAACTGAAACGATGAAATGTAAATTAACACTTAAATCGAATGAATGAAACTGCTCGTATCAGGGGAAATTCTTGAATGTTCCGACTGCATTTTAATTTCTAAGGTGTAGTTCAATTCAAAATTATTGATGAGAATTTTTTTTTTTAATGAAAAAATTTTTTGCAAAGTTTTTTTTTCAGGCATGTTCAGGTTTATTTTGTGGGTTATTTTTTAGCGAGTGATAAGCTACAATTGTACCAAAAAATTACGTTTTTCAGCGATAAATTAGCAATTTTTTATTGCTAATTTAGCACAGTTTTTTGAATTTTTTTAATTGGTAAATCATCGATAAATTATCGCTAATTTATCAATTTTTTTCGATAAGTAAGCGCGAATCAATTTAGCTATGAAATAGCACGGAAAAATCCATGAAAATCTTACAAAGAATGGGTTAGCAATTTTTCATCAATAATTATAACTGGGACTTCAACCCGGGCAGCCAAATCCTTAAAATTGCGATGCACACATCTCTACAAACATACATTGATCTTTATTCGTACAATCATACAAAGATGTGTTCACGCATTCAAACGCAATGAAACATAATTCACAAGTTCATGTTTTCATAGAGCCCATCCCTTTAGTGTCTGAGTTGCGTAAAAATGCTATATCTAAGATTTTTCAGAACTTGTATTTTCAGAAGTAATTTCATCCCAAAATGATCATATTACAAAAATGAGAACCCTATTGACTATAACTATTTAAAACACAAACTTCAAACAGAAAAGCTGTTTTTTATAATGTTTATGCCTTCAAACAAGTTAAAATGTGTTTAAAAAAATTGAAACTGTTTCGGAATTCAAGACAAATTACCTTTTATGGTAAATTTAGCCGACACAAAATAAATCGAGAAAATCAATGAGCAAAACAGTCGAAGCCACGAATTAAAAAATCAAAACATTGAGCTAGCATTTAGAACTGCACCATTTTTGATTATTTGTTTCTGTATTCCATAGCAAAAAGATAAAAAAAACCCGGCTGCGGAATTTAAACTAAATTTTTGTCCAATTTCGTCGCAAGGTCTGTAAACATTTCGAAAAGGCACAGATGTGAAATTGAATTTACTGCGGTTTTGGTGTTGCAGAAATCGCTTCTTGGAGGTGGGGTTGTTTCTAGTTTTTGTAAATTACTTTTTTAGTGGTTCAGTTCACGATGTTCAATACAATGGAATGGTCACTCTGCCATAATTATTATCAAATTATTCGATCTTTTTTGATAATATTTCTGCTTAATTTCTTAACAATTTTTTGCCGGCTTGACTGAAATCTTGACTGAGATCCATTTCTAGCCATAATTAGAGACTTAGAGATAAAATTTTGTTTATGAACGCGAAACCTTCAATGCAAAATCAAAATTATAGCCGGTGAAGAGGACAAAATTTTGAGAAATTTTAAGGTCAACAAAACTCCACTCAATCGATCGATTTCATTTTTTTTATTAATTATGCTCATCGTTTTGATTGAAAAAAGTATCTTTAAAAGTAGAACGGGTTTTCAACTTGAAATCTACACTGACTGACCATCATTACAGAACGGTTGCAGAACTTTAATTAAGCAAATACAATTTTGAATAGTGAAAATAATTTTCGCTTTGCGGCCGAATGTGCGGTTACAAAAATTATACAAATTTTAAAATATTCAGCGTAAAATTAAATTGGTATATATTTTTTTGATCGTTATGGGCTGTTTTGCGCTTCGACTAGTTTATTTCTTTTTGTTAGGCTGCTGTCACAAAAATCTGCATAATCTTAATCATTTTTTAACTTTTTGGCCATCTTTTATAAAATTAATTTTTGTCTTGTCCCTGTGTCGAGAAAAATGGGTTGAGTTTTAGAGTTTTTGAGTTTTAGTATAAGTTCAAGCATGTAAAGCGACCAAGTAACGTTCGTCATATATAGAAATTGGCCATTTACTTGATTTTACTCGATTTCAGTGGCGGATCTAGGATTTTTTCGAGGGGGGCGGATTTTCAAAACATTTCAAAAATTTTATCGACCTTTTTTTCTAGGTCGACCGAATTGATTTTTTGAGCTCTCCCTAAGCAATTTGCTGCGCCGCAGGCAAATTTTAGAAAAAAAAACAGTCCAAAAAAAGCGTTTTTAGGCACTTTTTGGAAAATTTTGACCAAAAAATTGCGTTTTTTCGGCACAGGCTCCCCCCTCAAAATTAGTATATAAATGGTCGAGTATTTAGAAAAATTTTAGGGTTGGTCGGCCAAAAACGGATTTCTTAAAAAATACCAAAGGGGGGGCAGGGGGTCGAATCCCTGAGGGAGGGGGGTACCCTTCGCCCCCTTCCCTAAATTCGCCCCTGCTCAATTTTACATTATTTTTTTATTGATTTTAGAAGCTTCATTTAGCACTCTTTGGCAATAAACTTCCACGAATATTTAAAGTTTTTAGTGCAAAAAAAAAGAAAATTTTCAAGATTTTTTATTGTTTTTTTTGTTCTTCAATTTTGAAAAACAAGTCTAGCCGCTTGTATAGTTCTATTATCACGTTTGTATAGTTCTAGTATCACACCATGCTCAAAAAAATCTCAATTTTAAAAAACAATTTCAACCTACATTTGAAGAACATTAATTATTGCGACCTGAAAATTCTGTGCAACCTGCCCTGCAATCGACTATTGATATTTTCATTGTGAATTTAGTTTAATTATTTGCATTGATTCAGACGAGAGCACAGCAGTGCACCGTGCGTGTCATGACAACAATGAAGTAGCCCTGAGACTTCTGATGGAGAAGGGGGTCAATTTGGACTGTGCTGATGTGGAGGGAAGGACTCCTCTACATTGGGCTGCCACTATCAAGGAACAATCCAACTGTCTACAGGTACTTTTTTAATGAACTAGAGTTGTATTATAGACTCGGAATCTCTTAATCACTAAACCGCACCCACCGCCTTGACCAAAACTTATACAAGAGTCTGATAAACGAGTTTGGTGGTTGATACACTATTCTGTGAAATCTCTTTTTCAAAGTGAGGTGATTTTTTATTTTTCTGTTTGAAACACAAAATGACAATACATGTCTATATTCGGATTGTACGTGGAAGCCCAACCTCATAACAGAAATGATTGCAAAATACGCTTTTCAATGGGCCTGTCTAGTTCTTTCAAAAGTTAATTGTCAAGCTCTGGTTTTGTTTTTAATTCTAGATTGTTTCTCTGGTTTTTAATAAGAAAAGTTAGAAGTCCTGAGAAGTTGTTGTTTGATTGAGCCTGATTGGCTTCTTTGTTGTGCAGATGCTGTTGGACGCTGGAGTGAATCGGAATGCCAGAGACATCGCCGGAATGACAGCATCAATGTGGGCATGCAGGATGGACTGTCTGCACAACTTCCAGACTCTAGCCTCCTCCTCTTTAATGACGTCATCAACTGTGTTCTCCTCCACAGCCAATCAGAATGGAGAGATGGGTGAGGGAGCAGGGGAGGTGGAAGTGGACAACAATGGATGGACTTGGATCCACTGGGCAGTGAGGAGAACGGAGCCACTGGAATGTCTAACAGTGAGTTCACAAGGCACCAGTTAGAAAGAGTATTTGGGGTAGAAATTTTTTAATTGATAATTTAATTTTTTTGAGGTATGCTTCTAGTTTAAGTTTGGCAAATTAATAGGTTTTTCAGTTTCTTGTTCATGGTTTAACTGAGTTATACCTCGAAAAACAATTTTAATTGTTACTTTTGAGTTGTTTTGGAATTTCTTCTACTCAAAGTTATGTTTTTAGAATCCATAAAGGCTAGTTACATTGCAAGATATGAACTCATCGAGACATGATGCCATATTTAAACTTCTCATGAACTCAAATGATCAGTTTTGATTTTCGATGTTTGCATGGGTTTCAATTTTTCAGACTCTTCTGAACCAGCGCAGTGGTCGTATTAAGGACAGCATGGGCAGACTGGCCATACACGTGGCAGCCGAACAGGGTAAGTTACGCGATTTCACATTTCATTAATTCATGCATTCATGCTTTGAAAATATGAAATTTGAGTGGAGATAAAAAAACAGTTTAGTCAAAATCTTACTTGGGATAATATATAATCATAAAAGATGTTTTTTACATATGTTTGCTCAAAACTAAAGACCATTATAACCGCTGTTGGATAATTTTTTTGCCAAATTCGTTGTCAGATCGTAAGAACTTCCAGATAACTTACTAATTTGTATGGAGTTGTTCAGATATTTTATAGGGCATAATCCGAAAACCATAGTCTCACTAAAATCTGTAAAAATAGACAATGCTCAATTGTTTACACAACACAGCGTAGTGTCACATAACGGTATTCATTTTTTCCAACCTAAGTCTCAAAAAAGGGCCCATGAATTGGTGCCACCTTTGCAGTAATTTATATATAGTCTCTTATTTTGTTGAGCGCGTGTCCATGTGTTTTTAAAATTGCAAAAATTGAGTTATTACTGTCCAATTGTACTATAGCAGAACCAACTGGGGGTATGTATTTGCTAAGATGTTTCTATGTTCACAGAAAAATTATAAGTGATGTTGGCTCAATTTAGATCTAAGATGCCTTCTGTCTTCGAACTTTTGCGAGGACGTTAAAAAAAGTTCTATCTTTTATCGTGGTATTTTTGTTGAGCATTCCTGATTTTCAATTGAACCGTCTTTCTGACTTTGCTGATTATATATCGCCATCCACGATTAATTGATGACCACGCTTTGAGCTTAAATCTAAAAATAAGCTTTCTTATTGCGCTGAAATGTTTTTTTTTTCGTTGATTGTATGCGAACCATTATGCAATTATGAACAATTTTCTTTGTTGATTTATAAACTTTCCCTTAAAAAAATTTCGTGGTTAAAACTGATACTGTTCTGTATGAAAAAAACTAAGCTACACCCCACTATTTTGCCTATTTACAAAAATGTTTTCTGATGAATTTTTAAAAGAAACACATTCAATGGGTAAAATTCAGTTCACCAGGTTTAACAACCAGGGCAATGACTAGTGGCTGAGTTGCGAAAAGTACTTTCAATTGATCATGATGGTTACGCAAAGACTGTACATTTAAAAAAAGGATTTTAATATGGTTACCTATTAGAATTCCTCTGAAAAACACAAAACTTGTTATGGAAAAAATTTTGTTCCTATTTTCAAACCAATGTCTTCTTCTTTGAAAAAGTTTGTTTCTTTTCGTTTCTATTTTTTTAATGCTTGCATCTTCCTCAGTTAAAATCATTTTTCTTCTGCGCGGATATTTTCGTTCAATAATTTTTTCAGCTAGGCAGAATAACTTATCCAGTTTCTGCTTTTGTAGTCTATTTTGGGAGTTTGGAATAACCGTAGATCTTTGAGCCACATTCTAAGTTTTTAATCTGACTGCATATGAAGTATGATTTCTAATTTGCAATATAAGATAGCAGATAGGAGTGTTAGCAGCAAAAAATCGACCTCTTTTTGATTATCAACTGGTTGCCCTTTGCTGTCAGAATTTGGAATTTAATCTGAACCAGGATTTTATGAGTTGTCGTGAGCAGAAAGTTATACTCCTTCAAAAATTCATTAAAGTTTTGTCTTTCGCTGCAAGTCTTACCTATAAATGAATTTTACCACGCGTTAACTTTTTTACCTTATCTTGATTGATAATGGCACGCGGCGATATCTTAAGGCTCAATTGAAGTTTGTATTGACCTGAGTATCCTCACAAATGGATGTACTGGGTACTCGCTTTCGTCAGACACTCCATGCAAAGTCAAATATTTAAAGGTAGAAGCTTTCAATTTATATTACTCGTTTTCCCAACTCGTGATTGTCGTTTAAGAGCCAGTCAATTTCTCCTCTCAACTCGATGAAATCTTTCTGTTGAGAATCAACTGGATTGATTGATGTTTCGAGGAGGGATCGTACAGATTCATCATTGGTAAATCTGTTATAGAAATTTTCTGAAGTAAGGTCATTTTATTTCGGCGGAAGCAATAGATTTTGGTTAGGGTTTTTTACAGCAGACGCAAGGAACATCTGTTATTTTTGCTCATCTGTTTTAGTTCGAACTGACTCCATTAGCCATCTCTGAAACGAATTAAAGGGTTTATCACAACAACTAGGCTTGCTTTGCTTAATAATCTACCCAGGTCCAGTCATTTTGAAAGTGTTGCCAAAAGCTTGAAAAATCTTGAAGATAGCAAGATTCTTGAATTCAAAATAGTTTTGACAGTTGTAAGTTACTGAAGCGAACATCAATATATATCCAGAGAAACGTGTATGATGTCTCCTGCAGTCAACAAAAAATTTTGATTTTTTAAAAATCGAATCTGTAAAAAATCTTAAGGGTGCTTAAAATTTTTTCAAAACAATGAAATTTTTTTTTGAAGCAGTTCAAAGCAAATGGATGAGCAAACCCATTTACGGCATCTTCAAAACCCAACACTAACATCATAACAATTATAAAAATGTTTACTAGGTAGCATTTTATCTGGAAGAATCCAATTTCAACATTGCTGGCAACCCGGGTTGACCAAAAATGCTTATTATACAATTCTTATAAATGGGAAATTTCTTTTCATACAATTTCATACAATTCCATACGTACACAAATTTGTATAAAAACTCTATAATAAACATTTTCCCATAGATGGAAATTGTATAATAGTTGTCTTCTCCATAAACCAAAAAGTTGTTTTTTGTTTCTAAGTTTCTGAAAATTTTGGGTTGTGTTTGTTGCAACCGAACACAAGTGACAAAGACCTTGGTTACTTAAAGCACCAAAGTTTGGACGGTCTTACATTTACAATGCATAAAAACGACCTGAATTGTCTTCCAGATGTCTTTCAAAAATGATATAACAAAACTAAAAAAACTTTTAGTTTTTGGCAAATTTTTTCAGTTACGATAATTTTTAAATTTTTGAATTTTCAAATTATCAGACATTGATCAAGGCATACATAAACACGTCATACAAAAGAAATAGGAATTTTCTGCTTTTTTTAAAAAAAATTTAAGTGAAATGAAAAAAGCCAATATTATTGTATCCAGGACTACGTTATGCACAAAAAACTAAATTTTGCATGCAAAATTTTTTTTTCGAAAAATGTTGGAAAATTTGATTTGCGGTTGAACAAAATTCGATTTGCGGTTGAAAAGAAAACAAACAAATTTTTGGGCCAAATTTTCAAAATTACCTGAAAAATTTTTTGTGTCGCCATCAAAAAATGCCAGTCATACAGTTTCCATATATGGAAATAGTATGGAAAGAATTTTTTTGAAAAAAATGTTTTAAATCAGTTTTTTTTGTCACCAGTCTGTTCAACTGTTCTCAAAAAGCCGCAGAAATGGTTTAATTTTTTTTCTATTGTTTTTGTTTTTTGAAAATGTATGAAAATTGTTTGAGAAGCATTTTCTCCATACACTTGATGTATGGAATTGTATGATAAGCATTTTCGGTGAATGGAGGTCAACCCGGGAATATCGGCAACCTTAAGCGACATATTTGGTCAAAAACGGTATTCATAGGTAACTTGTTTTGACAGTTTTTGCGTGCAGAAATGAGTAATAAAAATGACTTCATACGTCGAAATGAGCAATTTTAGGTAAAATTGTTTCGTTCGAATTGGTCGATCTATAAGAATGTTTCTAACACTTGAGTCTTAACTGCACATTAATTAAATCTTGAATAATTGATTTGTGAAGTAATCATCAGTTGTTTCATCCCCATGTAGGTGCAACTAGTGCATGTCGACTGATAGTGGATGTGTGTGGGCGGGAGTGTGTGAACGAGAGGGACACTCAGGGCAGGACCCCCCTCCACCTGGCAGCACTCAGTGGACACGGAGAAGTGCTCAATCTACTCTGCGAACAGGGGGGTCAGTTTTTGTCATGTCGCTATATCCTCATGACTTTCATCAATCCAACTCATCCATTCTTAAGTTTTCAATCTACAGTTTCTAACCTGCTGATTTTACTAAAATTCGTAATTGCCCCCACAAAATTGTGTGAGACGTTGATGAAACATATAATACTACAGTGAAATGTGGGCATCAAATTGATTTTTTTTTCCAAAAATTTGTTTGTACCGGCAGTTTTTTTTTTCGAAATTTTGAAACGAATATATTTCCGAAAAAATTATATTTAAAGTAATTCGTTTCCAGCCGACTTACTGATCGAAGACGAGCACAAAGCCACCGCTTGGGACTACGCCAAGGGAAGCCAACTGCGCTACTGCATGCTCATTCTATCCTACTACAGGGAGAAACAAGACGGAACAACTCTGCCGATTGGAGACCCAAACTCCACCTCAAACGGAGGGGTCAGTGGGGGCATACTGACTAGAAGACAGTCGGGTGACATGACCCCCAGAGGGGGGCGCTTTCTCTCGCCTAGGCCGCCAGAATTCAGTCGACCAGTCACTCCAAATACGCCAAGGTCAAGGTGAGTGGTGTGTGGGTGAATACAATTTTGTTTCATTTGGCATAATAGAGGCGGATCTGGGATTATCACGACAAAAAATATTTTTATTTGATACTGTTTCGCGACCAACGGTTTCATTTGTTTTAAATTCCTCTCGCACTATACCACTAAAAACGCTATTTATGTTCAAAGCTAGCTACCCGGGTTGACAAAACTTCTTATCATACAATTTCCATATAATGAGAAGATTCTTGTCATACAATTCCATAACGAACAGACAATTGTATGAAATCTCTGTGATAAACAGTTCCATATATGGAAATTGTAAAATTATAAATTTCCATTATATGAAATTTTTATGACTAGAAGTTTGCAATATGAAATTTAAAATCGGCAAACGCCTACAAACCTGACTGAAAGCTAAAAAAGTTGTCTCGAGCTCACTCACATAAGGAAGTAGCGAACAGGAAGGTGCAGAACTTTTTGCGTTCGAAGACAAAATACTTTCCCTCCCATATTAGCTACCTGTGAGCAAGCAAGAGAGACCCTGAAAACACAATAATATGCACTAGAAACCTGAAAACAAGCAAAAGATCACACAATATCTACAAACATCAAAAAATTGTAAGAGCACGCAGAAACAGAATGTTTTTCACCACCAGACTGTTTTTATTAGAATCAAACAGCTGCAGAAATTAGTTCATATCTTTTTTCAAACATTTTTCGAAATTGTATGAAAATTCTATGACAAGAATTTTTGCATACACCTGTATGGAATTGTATGGTAAGCAATTTTGGTGTATGGAGGTCAATCCGGTTAAGAAGAAATATATTCCAGCTGTGCAGAAATTTTTACCAGGCTTTGCCAAAAACTTTTAAAATCGAAAATTATTTCTCTTACTTTGAAACCGTATTTTGTTTATAAAAACAGACTGACTGGGCGCTCTAGTGCCAAGAGGAGTTCAATGGCAGCCAGCATGACAGCATCTATCAGTCCCCCACCCGGGGAGGGTGATCAGTTCGAGGACAGGGGGATGAGCACCTACAGGTCATCCACCACTTCACTTCACGGACCCATCTTCCCCCAGAAAAAGGTCAAGCCCAATTCACCCCCACAAGATCAACAACTGGAACAACAAGAAGAGCCGCAACATCAGCAACCCCAAAACCAACAAGTACAACTACCACAACAACAACAACAACAACAGCAACAACAACAACAACAACAACAACAACAACAACAACAACAACAACAACAACAACAACAACAACAAAACCAACAACAACAACAGCTAAATCAGCAGCAGCAACAACATCATCAGCAACTGCGACAACAAGGACGGCAAAAACAGCAGCCACGCACCGAGCACTTCGACCGCCGGGACGTCTCGAGTCCGCGACACAGTCCACAACGGGGACGGGGTTCAAAGAGGGCGCAGAACTGGAGTGGTGATTTTGAAGTTGATATAATGGGTGATAGCAATGGGGTTGTGCCGATGGAATCGGGGGGAGTGGGAGGAGCTGAGAGTCAGTTACAGTCCGGATTTTCTCCCAATACGCGTGAGTCGGTTTTAGTTCCTGCAAACGAAAGTCCATTGGTCGTCTCATCATCCAACTCACTCCATGTAATAGATTCATCTTGATATCTTGATCATGATTTAATCGCATAATCAGAAGTAGGAATAGAGGCGGATCTAGAATTTTTCGAGGGGAGTGGTTTCAAAGTTTTCAAAAAGTTATTTTTTCGGTGAGACAGCGACGAATATGGGTTTTTCATGACAGGGCGTAGTTTTCAAAAAAAATCAAATTACAGAGAGATGGCGACTGCCTGATCCCCTTTCCCACCTAAATCCACTCCTGTTGTGAACACTTAATACTTTTAGAGAACGTGTTGATTCTAAACGGAGCTGAAGATGAAGACAACGATGATGAAAACTTAGCCGAAGATGATTGGAATGTGGAAGAAGGCTTCGAACCAAAGAACTACAACCAAGTAGTACCCTTCCGAAGTAGTCCCAATAACACACAAGATAGCCATAACAATAACAACATGGAGTCGCAGAAGAATCCCCATTTGAGATCCAATTTTGTGTCTTCAATCGACAATGATGAAGGAGAATTTGAGGTAGTTATAAATCATAATTTCTAGAAATGGAAACATACAGCTGGTTTTATATTCGTATCACCAAGTAGGAATACATTCTCAATGAAATTTAGAGTTGCTCCAGACAAAAATAGTCCTTTTTTCTAGGTCGACGATGACGATCAGAACACTTACGAAATCGATCGACCCGCAAGTCCTGCCCGATCCGAAATGACAGACGTCTCTCTCCCGATGAATGTCTCGGATGTCGACGATCCCCCCACTGTCATCCATCGACCCCCAGCTCAAAACACGAGTACACATTCAAAGGGAGGACAAAATGCACCTCCAGTGAAGTACAACCAACCTCAAAAAATAACCCTAGATATGGGTTCGAATTTGCTTCACGGCTCCCAAAAACCGAGTAACCCGCAGCCAATTAGACCTGAATTAAAATCGACTGTCTTCGGTGTTCCGCGGACATCTAACGAGACCAATTCGTTCGGGTTACCCGAGCAAATTACGAACGACAACCGAACTATTTCACACAAAACGAACAACCAGAACCAAGATTTTCCAAGTCAGAATAATAAACCACAAAAAAGTCATCAAGTTAGTTTCAACTTGCAATCCTCGGGTACTCAACAGCAACCAACTCGAGGCCGAGGGACGAAGCCACGAGGGGGACAATCGCCGAATCAGTTGTCACAGTCGCTGTCCCCCGACAACTCGCTGTCTGTTTCGTCCAATACGAGGACAGCTGTGTACTCGGGAAAAGTGAAGGCGGCTCCTGTTAAGCGTGCAGCGGCATCGCAGAGTCCAGCCGCTGCAAGGACAATGCCACCAGAAATCAAGGTAAAACTGATGCTTTTGCTCAAAATCAAAATTCAATCGTTGAAAACACATAAATACCAGTTCTATAATCCTCAAATAGTTGCAGCTTGTAATACCTTATACAAGGATACTCTACAAGGATACAATCTTTTGAGAACGAGAATGGCGTGTCAAATTTTTAGGTCAATTTGTAGTATAATCGAAGTATTTTTTAATTCCAAAGCGGTTTAGGTACGTCTTTCTTTAATAAATTTCAAATTTTTTCCCTCAGAGTGAGAAGGCAGCGGCATTGAAGGAACAAGAGCTGGCCGATATCCAGTTTACGCCCCTGCATAGACGGGCTAGTCCAGGGGGACACCTGGAACCTCTGCAGCCCCTTCCCCTGCCCCACCGAGTAATGACGTCTTCACTACCCACCCACACTATCTTCACAGACGAGTCAGGTACAGACAAACAGTTAACTTAAAATTTAATTAAAACTGAAAATTTTTTACCAAAAAAATTTGTATTTTGAAAATTTAGCATATTTGAAAAAAAATCGGCGTAGACGCCGTGCTATTGACGCAATCTACTGAGATGTACTGTAAGTGTTCTGTTAGCTGTTTTGCGGATCAATACTCATGTAGTATTAATTTTTTACATCCATTTTTGGCTCATAGAAAGGATATCCAAAAACAAGCTCTAGCAGGGGCGGATCTAGGTTTTCTCTCGAGGGGGGGGGGGGGGATTTTCAAAACAATTTTCAAAAATTTCCTTGCCTTGTTTTTGGATTGACCAAAATGATTTTCTATTTTCTGAGCTCTCAAATCAGTATAAACACCCCCATTTTAAACAAAGGTGGACCCTTCCTCTTTCCCTAAATCCGCTGGTAAGCTCTAGTTTGTTGCGCAAATTTTAAATAAAATTGAGGTGAACAAATGACAAAAAATACTGAAACTGGTTATTATTACGTTTTAAAAAAGCGTATACATTTTTTTCAAGTTTTGACAATGCAGGTTTTTTTTTCAATCAATTCGAAAACTAAGATTGGATGGCTTTTAAAATTTGACGCGATAATCTGAAAAATTTTGGGAAGTTCAGTTCACGTTAAAACTCAGAATTGCATTTTTTTGCAAAAAAAAACAGCCAAAAATGCGGTTTTTGGGTTTTTTGGAAGGTTTTGACAAAAAAAGAAAAAAGACCAGGGGCAAAGATATGATTGAGGGATTCAACCCCCTCACAACTTTCAGAGTTCTCACCCTGCGATAATTTTTTATGGCATCCAAATTTGAATGATCGACCCTAAAAACCTTCAAAAAACCTATAAAGCAACGACATTTTTTTGACCAAAAAGGGGCCTTTATAATGTATTTGGGGACCTCGAATAGGCAACTACTAGAGGTTCGTTGATTGAATTTGTTTTGGGAAATATGCAGGCGAGGAAATGTCCATAATCGTAGATGGTTGAGGTAAGATGTGCAATACTTCGACATATGTGTTCAGAATTTCTGCAGATTCATGAGTGTAACACGAGAAAGACAACTCATTGACTTTTATGGGCTTCGAGTGCGCTTTGTTGTATTCAAACGTATTTTCTGTGAAAGATTTATAAAAAGCTTCATCAGCTTTCATCATGCCCAATTGTGCGAGGAAAAAACTACATTACGAGGCCAAACAATGCGCTCGATAGGATCACCGTTTGGTGTGTGTAGACGGCACTGAAATTTCATAGATAGTAATAGTATATTTTGGATTTGTATATACCGTTTCTCTAAAACTCGAAAACAATCTGTTATAATCGATTAAAATTAAATTGTCTTGTTAATAATTTTCAAAACATTCTTACTCGATTGTAAACCACTATTTTCAAAAAAATAATCGAAACAGTCGTAATCCATTTTAATTGATCATGATGAACTAAAATTGTTTTTACAAAAGGTTCGCGCGCTATTTTAGTTATTGTTTTTTTTCTTTTTTGTTCACGCAAAATCAGGTACCACAAATAAATTTTGGAATGGGTCGAGTGATACGCTGTGCGTCACATTTTTTCGTACCATCCTAATACATGTAATTTCATCAATTCAACGCAAGAGTGTGCCAAATTTTTTCGTACCATTTCAGAAATGTTGAAAAAGTCAGTAAAAAACTATATTTCCATTTCTCCTAACACATAATAAGAAACGACTATGCAACGATGAGAAAAGAGTTTTAACATATTCAGAAAGATGCGAGTTCATGTGGTCTACGGCTTCAAAAACTCTTTCTTCCAGTTCTTGTTTGTTTTTCGGTTGCAAACCATCATAAACCCTTGAACTCAACAGGCTCCGCACGTTTTCTATAATGTTGATGTCCGGGTTCCTGCTGGGCCAAGGTAGAAGCTCAATTTCCGTCTTCTCAAATAGTCCAAACTTTTTTTGAAACAAGAATACTGCAATTGTCTTGTTGCAGAACGAAACCATCGGGGAGAATGTCTCTCATTGGAGGGATGGCAGTGTCTTTCATAGGCTTGATGTAGGTGTCTGAATTTATTCGACCAGATACCGTTTTGACAAAAATGTGACCGGTCAAAAAAATCATACTCCAAACCACCCCCACATTGACGTTTACTGAGGTAAACTTGATGATTTTCCTTCATCTAGGAACACCAGTCTGTTCCGTCCAGGTTAAATTTTATTCATCCGTAAAGACTACTTCATTTCAGTTTTTTGGTTTATTCAACCATTCAGTACAGAGGCGTAATCGGTTTTCTTTCTGTTTTTTGGTCAAAATTATCGTGATTTTTGCATTTGTGTACCTATACTTCATTCTTGATAAAGCCCGATGAACCGTTCTTCTGCTGATTTTGAGGGCTGTCTCCCTCAGGACTTTTGAGGCTGTCACCCTATCTTTGCGTTTTTTCAGTAGAGCAAGGCATCGTTTTATACAGAGTTTTTTGAAGCCAACGGCCACATGCTTGGGTCCCCGCTTTGCTTTCACTCTTGAGTAGTCATTCTTGATCATATACTGCATTGTTGATCTTGGTAACTTCAGTTCTTGGCTGGTTCGGCGATATGAAAAACCATTTGCATGTTTTTCTTTCGCTAACTCGATAACCTCGCGTGAGTGCATGTCAAAAACTGACTCTCAATCAAGTTAGGACAGGTACCTGCTATATCAAGTAAAAACAGAATCATTTGCCCGCAGCTCGTGACTTTTTCAACAAAAACCTAAGGGTACGAAAATTTTGGCCACCTTTTGTCGTTGAACAAATGTTTAAAATGTATTAAGATGATACGAAAAATTATGACACGGAGTGTATATCATGTTCAAGCCCTATCAATCGTGATTCGAACGACATAAAAAAAAAATTTAAGTTTTTTCCACCGTGTCGAGAAAAACCGAACTGAAATTTTTGATTTTTGGTCTTAATTCGAACCAGTATGGTGTGCGCGTAAAGGCTTCCACAGCTTATTTCAGCTTCTTACTTTCAGCCGTGAAGACTTCATTGTACTCCAATAAAAATAGTTTTTGGAGTTTTAGTGCCATTTTGTAACCAAAGAATAAAAAAATTCCAAAAAGTGTTGCAAAAATTGTTGATACCTTTTTTAAAAAAATTTTCGAATTTTTTAAACATTTTTTTTTCATTTTTCTTGACAATTTTCTTCAAAACCTGTTTTCCGAATGGCCTTTATTACTATGATTGTCAAATATGCCTAATTTTTTTTTCGTTCAAATCTTTTTACACAAAAAGCGGGAAAAAACGATACTAATTTGAAAAAAATATATATTTTTGTATTTTTCTAAGATTGAGGTCGGAAGTTTCTGTGCTACTTGCACAGTAACCGGCTATCCTTGTTTTGTTCTCTCATTAAAATTCATTTTTTAAAAATTTCACTTTCATTTTTTTATAATAAGTTACCTATTTTTGATTATTCTTTGAATTCACTTTTTTTCGCAAACCCCATAACCTGGCCCACGCTCCCCCTCCCACCACGTTTAGCCCCTATCCCAGAGTTACCTATATCCTTCCCCCATGCTTAGCCCCCTATTACCTTATCCACATTGAACGGGGAGGGTGGGGACGGGGGGAAGTAGACGGTAGGTTTGAGGGGCGGGTGGGTGGGGGCAAGCGGGGGACGTGGAGGTGGGATGTGGTGGGTTCTGGTCGGGAGGGGCGTAGTGGAGGGTTGAGGAGGGAGGGGCTGTGATAAGTGAGCAGGTTCGCTCTGGTTCGAGATTTGCTGAAAATTGCAAAACATGAGAAATTCTCCAAGATGAGCCCGGTGCGGGAAAATTCAAATTAGAAAGGTCTTTTTGCGGAATCTGCTTACAATTGACAAAATATAGTTCAGTCTCATTTTGAAATTTTCGGGAAAGGGGGGTTAAATTTTTTTGACAATCTGCGTTTATTTTTGGCGCGCTCCACTTTTTAGGCACCTTTAAGAAATTGAGGATAGCCAATTTCAATGGAATGCCATAAAATCAGAAATTGGTTGGCCTTAACAGAAAAAAGTTCGATATTATTTTCGAAAGGTTTCTTGGCTCTTTCCCATTTTTCCCACATTTTTTTCCAATCGTGCCAGTTATGACGTGATTGCAGATTCAAATCGCACGTGCGCTGCAATTTGTAAGGCGATCCCTTACAAGTAAGTCTTAGTTTAATTGGCCCTTGGTTATATGCGCCCGTGTCAACTTAAATAATTAACCTCCGGGCTAGGCCTCCGTGCTGTTTGACTGAAGAACAAAAATTCTTTGCAACCCGTAATTATATTTTTCAACCCATTTTAGGAAACCAGAAGAGAGGACGTAAAAAGACTAAAAGCAAAACCCTGAAACAGAACAACGAGATAATCAACAATGCCTCCTATTCATCTTCTGGGGGCGGAGGGGGAGGGGTGAGTGGAGGGAAAGAGCAGATTGCCCTTACGTCACCCCAAAGTGCTCATCCAAGGTTAAACAGACTGCAGCCCCTGGAAGCATCCATACAGGTACAACACTAGTCCCCAATTTGACTTTGGTTGATTTACCGTCATCCCCCTTCTCTATCATAGATTGCAATTACATATTTGCTACAGGTGCAACAATTGTCGCATAAGGCGTTCAGTAGAAGTTGGTGCAAACATCTGATGTGGCACAATAATTAGTAGAGCCTAGAAAATCATTAGGGAGTCAATTGAAAATTTTACCATATTTAGGCTTGTTTTGGCTGCGAAGCGATGAATCCGCGCTATTTTTGTTCCGACTTTCGAAGAAAAGGGAATATTTATGCTCGGTGTGGTTTTTTTTATTCAGTCAATTTTCACCGATCGAAATAATAATTTTCAACAAAAATTGTTTATACCCCATTGAAGATATCGACTTCTTGAGTGCAAATAAAAAGATATTTCATCTCCGATAAATTTTTGTAAAGTTCTGCGGGTTTGAAAATTGCCAGATTTGCCATGTTCTGCACTAAATTATGTGCGCTTTGGAGAGTGTATTCATAATAATGAGAGCGTACCCGCACCTAAGAAAAGTGAAAAAAAAAATGATTATCATGGATTTTAGTGGTCTAAAACATTGCCAGTATGATCGATTCCCAAGTTAGGCTTAGACAACAAAATTGGACAAAAAAGGATTTAAATCCATGTTTTTCTGGTAAAAACAATGCATTTTAATTCATTTGAAATCCATTATAATGGATTTTAAAACAAGTACAAAATCATATTGAAATGGATTTTGATCCACTTTATTTTCATTAGGCAAACATTGGAGGGAATAAAAGCGGGCAGTTGTTGAAAGGAACAAAATTCAGCTTCTGAGTAACATAAGAAAGAAACAAAATTAACAGATGAGTAATGCAAAATCTTTGCAAAGTGAGTGTACGTCCTACTCCTTTTCTAAACCTAAACTCAAATTGCAAAAAGATTTTGTTGACCTCTCCCCCCTAACATTTGGCCCTTTGCTCCCTTACAACCCCAATTCCAACTTTTGCCTCTTTGCCCCCCTGGCCTTCTGGGTCCCCCTCACGCTTTTTGTTTCCTCGAAAATAGTAATCCCATAATCCTTTTTTAATTGATTATAATAGGTTTTTTGTTCACTTTTGTTGACACTGACAGTGAAACTCAAATATAATCTATTTTTATTCATTGAACTCCAAGGCGGGTAACGCGAATTTTTTATGCGTGGCAAAATATCCCGCACAAAAAAATTGTTCCAAATTTAATTGAGGCTAGCTAATTGGTCGTATCAATTTCGTACAACTCAAAATTTAACACATTGATTTTGTCCAGAATGTATAGGTTTTCATTATTTTCTTTTCTCAAAAACTACTCAATATAAATTAGGGGACAATCGGAAAATTCTGGGCTTCGCCCTGATATAAGAGCAATCTTGTTCAGCGTTAATGAATGAAGGAAACTTTCAATTCATGAGTTGTTGCAACAATGAACACAAAAGAAAACAAGACATATCAGGGCAAAACACTGAATTTTCCGACTGCCCCTTAATCCATATCGAAAAATTGTCGCGACATCCATTTTTGGCTGATCGTCCTCAAACATTGTCTAAAGGCGCATTTCTGTGCCAAGATAACTAATTTTGGCTCTTTTTCCTTTCCTCCCACCTCACGCCAGTTTCAACTTATTAGTGTAACGAGTGGTTTTACGAGGTTGAGTATGAAGACCAAATATGTTTTTCGTGGCCTTATGTAAGTCGGTATGTAAGTTTTCATAACAATCGGACAATGTGGTCAACAAATTTACATGTAAAAATTTGCAGTGGGGGGGGGGGGGGAAGGAAAAAGAGCCCTAATTTTGAAGGGGAAGCGCTTGCCAAAAAACGCAATTTTTTGGTCAAAAATTGCAAAAAGTGCCTAAAAACACTTTTTTTGGCCTATTTTTGAAAAATTAAGGGTCATTATAGCATTTTCGGAGAGCTCGGAAAATCAAATTGGGCGACTTAAAAATTTGTCAAAATTTTTTTTCGAAAACCCCCCCCCCCCCCCTATGCATTTATCCTCCGTTGCTAAAGTAGGGCGGGATTAAGTAAAGATTCATTTGTTTCGGATTAAACTTTTGACCCTTCTGTCTTTGTTGCAGGGCTCCTCCTACCCAATCTACCACAGCGCCAAACGTAGAGGAGAGTCCACCAACACGGATGAGTTGAAACTAGACAATAATCCCATGCCAAATATGGAAATGAATGGGGGCGAACCAATTGTCCCTACTCCGGCTCCACGCAAATCACTACCTGCTCCCCTAACGGCCAATTCGAGGAAAACGGCAAAACTCCCTAGCACTTAAGCAGATAATACATTACAATTCTGTCCAAATGATTCTGTTTCGATTATGGTTTTGTTTCAATTGTTCAATTCATAATTAACTTTAAAAGTCAAAAGCCCACTGAGCAGTCAAAAGCTGCAGCATTACAATGTATCGGTTTTTAACCATTGACACCCTATTGCGAAAGTGGAAAATGTCATTACCAGGTTCAATAGTCGTGTGTGAATAAGCATTTAGGAGGGATGTTGATGTGCGTGCCCAAGGGCTTTGCTTGTGCTAGCTTACTTGTTTGGCCCTAAAAATGCCGTAGTTCTCAATAAAAATTTTTGCAAGAGAATGCGTCCAGCATGTGGTTTAATTCTCACAGTAAGCGTTAAGAATTCTCTATGTTGAAAAGAAATGTCTTTTTAATCTAGTGGGAACGAATGCGTCTACTAATTTCAAGGCGTATGTTAGAGTCCGATGCTGGCTTTTGTTTTTAAGAAATAGGCGGCACCAATCATTTCAGCGACCAAACAAGTAAACTAGTACCCTCTCGCTTTTCAGCCAAATGGTCGATGGTTCGAGGCCCACTACTATCCCCGTTCGATTCTTACTGAGGTGTGGCAACAGACATTAGATCCCTCTCCAAATATTTAATCAAAAACTGAATGAACGTTTCAATAGGAGACAAAGCTGCGGTTTTTCGAGCGATCTGAAAATTATGTTCTCCATCGTTTTTGAACTAACCCATTTTGTTTCCATCATGCTAAATAAACCTCCGAAAAAGAAACAGAACTTGTCTCCATGCACTAGTTGGGATGGAAATAAACAAGACTGCTCGTACCAGGGCGAAGCCCTGAATGTTCCGACTGCCTTTTAAGGTTTATGGAGCAGTAATATCATTAAAAAATAAATGTTAAAAAAATGAATTTTTTGTTTCTAAAATTTGGAATTTTTTTTCTGAAAATCAACCCCCCACAAGCCATCTAAAGAACAAAAGGATAGATTCCGCTCCTTGTAACAAATCAAGTATGGCAAACAAGCTTCTTTCAACCAATTTGGAACGATTTCTAAGACGGATTAACTCTCCGCTCACGCGTTAATAGCGCGAAAAACATCGCGCGTAATTGCCCTAAATTAGCCAAAATGGCAATCTTTAAATCCCCATAACTTTACAAAAATTGATCATTTTTTCAAATTTGAGCTCAGGACAACAATACCTTTCGAATGATAATAAAAAAATCCCGTCAAAAATGGCTAGTTAAAAAGTCGAAATTTGTCTAAAGAAAAAAAAAGCACCCGAACACAAATATTCCGTTACTTTCGTATCGAAAGTCGGAACAATAAGATAAAACAGTCATTGAAACCATATCCGCTGCATCCCTCACAGATTTGATAACTTTTAAGATTGTCGAATTCTATCGCAGAAAAATGGAGGCTCAGCGCAAATGATAACAAATCAGCAGAAAAGAAAATCGATATCAAGTTTCAATAAGGATGTGTTTTGGGGCCTTCGCTTTTTCTGCAGATTGAGAAACAACTTGAGGAACAACTCTGGCTCTGTAAATAAAACTGGTGAATATTTCAAGCAAATCTTTTTCTATCATGCAGATGCAAGTATCAAAAAAGAAGAATTTTTCGAAAAAAAAATTACAAAACTTCTGAGTTGTTTTAAATCATCCCCCCACACGCCATATAAAGTAAACAGAAATAGACTTTGCTCCGAGTAACGTAGAAGTGATCACCAATAGCCTGTTCTAGCCAATTAGGGGATTAAGTCTCCGCTTAAGGGTTAATAGCGCAAAATACATCGCTGGTTAATTGTTTCAAATGGGCCCTAATGGCAATCTTTAAACCCTAATAACTTTGTAAAAAAAACTTAGTTAAGATTTCTTTTCACATTTGAGCTCAAGAAAGCAATAATTTTGGGCTGACACAAAAAATCTTTGTCAAAAATGGCTAGTTAAAAAGTCGAAACTTGTCTGAAGAAAAAAGCCACCCCGAGCACAAATGTTCCGTTACTTTCGTTACAAAAGTCGGAACAATAATTCTTTTTCATTCAATTTGCTAAAGCATACCAATACACTTACAAAATAAATTGACCAAATCAAGGAAACTTTTAAACAGTAATGATATCTTAAATATTTTTAAAAACCGGTTCAGAGCTGTTTTTTTTGTGCAATACTTACATTTTTTCAACAGAAGTGAACCTGCAAAGCCAGACAAACATAGCATTGCAAGATTGCAGAAAAAAGTAAAATAAAACCACCAAGTCGAAAAGTTTTTAAGAAAACACAATTACAAAGTTTTCTTAACTTTTCTCAAATGCTGTTCGGATAGAGAAAAAACGTCCAATAAAAATCACTGGCGTTACATAAGATTTTTAAAAAACTCTAAGCGTTCTAAGAAACAATTCTTCTAAGCGTTTTTAATAAGCGTGATTTTCTAAGCGTTATAAAAAAAGAGTTCTAAGCCTCTATAATATTCAGATATTTTTGCTTTTGTCATTTTTCAGATAGAATTAAATTTGATAGTAAATTCAAACTCCATAGAAAAAATTAAGACCTGTCCACGCTCAGAACCATAACTTAACAATTTGTGCTTTGATTTTTTTCCATGTGAATCCTGTTTTTCTAACGATTGGAAAGGAAGCGAAGAACTTACTGAGGCTCAAAAATCAGTTAGAAAGTTTTTTCTGATCACGAGCAATAACTAAAATTAAACGGCATGTTTTTGTGTTAATGCGGACTTGCTGCCTTATACAAGCCTTTACACAATTCCTAGAATGGAGATGGAATTGGAGTTAATTGTCTTTAAATTCAGTGCCAATATTTAAATCTAAATACATGGTGCTTCTTCTTCCTTTACTCAAACTGTCAAAAGCCCGATTAACCAAATTTTTATCGTTTGAAAAAAGTTCTTCTTATTTACTAATCTATGACCTTAGCCGTCTCAGCTTAGCCGTTATCTCCAAATAAAATGTGTCCCACAAAATCTAGCCAGTTAAGTGTATTATAAGTTAAATTATCCAAAATTTCAATATTTTTTGGTTAAAAAGTTGTGAGCCGGAAAAAAAAACGATATTCCGATTTGATAAAGGTAGCGTAATACCATCAGTTTGTAAAGTGTACGTTTCTGGGATTTTATCAACCTTTCCTGGACCCTGTTATGATTTTCTTTTTTTTTCACAATTGTTTTTCAGGCCTGTCTATATGATCTAAAAATTAGTACTTACGAGAACACTAGATAAATTACCGATTCAACACTTTTATGAAGTATTAAGGAATCAATTTATTTTTTCGATTTCCATAGAAAAAATTAAAACCTGTCCACGCTCAGGACCATAATTTAATATTTTGTGCTTTGATTTTTCCTCATGTGAATCCTGCTTTTCTAACGATTGGAAAGGAAACGAAGAACTTACTGAGGCATAAAAATCAGTTAGAAATGTTTTTCTGATCACGAGGAATAACTAAAATTGAACGGCGTGTTTTTCTGTTAATGCTGACTTGCAGCCTAATACAAGTTTTTACACTATTCCTAGAATGAAGATGGAATTAGAGTAAGTTGTCTTTAAACTCAGCGCCAATGTTTAAACTAAAACACATGGTGCTTCTTGTTCCTTTACTAAAACTGTCAAAAGCCCGATCAACCAAATTTATTGTCTGTACTGATTTTTGATTTGAATGAGTTACACTTTTTACGGCCTGTCGACTGTGTTGTTTTAAGGAGTACCGGCGCTAATCAGATCTCGAAAATGGAATTCGTTTTAAACAGCTTTGCAAAGCTTGCAAAAAACAAAGCGTAGCAAACCAGCCTCCAGGACATACATCGAAAATCACAAAAAAAAATCAAACCTTTTCACCTGAAAAAAAAAACATTCAAAAAACTGATGTTATAGCAAATCAGTTTTGATGAATTTACACCTAATAAAGAAAAAACATTTTTCGACTGGATTATGTATTTGAAATTTTTTTGTTGGTTGAGAAATTTATGTTGTTTATCTGGAAAAGCCGGTGTTCTTATTTGATAAAAGTAGCGGGGACTGCGTAAAACTTACCTATATTAGGTTTGTACGTAACTAATTACTAATGTCAAGGTCATCGTTGTAGTTAGCTTAACAATCACGTAACGCCATTGGCGATGGTGTTTTCTTTGAACTCAAGTAAATTTTCTGACGTTTTGACAAAACGCGGCGTTGTTATGTGACCACGAGATTACTTTCAAGAGGTGCAGTCTTAAACGGAATCGAGCTATCGCGGCTTAGATGTATTTTGGCACATTCCCTCTCAGAAACCCCCAGTATCCTGGGAAAATTGGGCACAGCGTTTCCAATTGGTGGTCATTGCGAAAGAAGAGATAGACATAGGGTTTTTACTGGCAGAAAATGCACTATCAGAAAATGCACTATCAGAAAATGCATACACGACGCTTGAAGTACCAGTAGGAGCGGTAGGAGTCTATTCACAGGAAGCAACCGGGGTGAAGCAGAAACAAGGCTTAAGTCAAAACTGTTCGTGTCTTTAGAAAAACAAGGCGCAAGGTGTTTCTATCAGAAGCATCCTAGATTGAGTGAAATTTCAGCGAATTATGAAAGTTTCAGCGTAGACATAAATTTCACCGAATAATGATAACTAGTGGTAGAAGCGTTCTTAAGAGAACCGAATGTTACCGAAATCGAATGTTACCCGCGGTTTATACTATTTGGCAGAAAACAAAGGGAAACAAATTGAATGGATTAATTTTTTGTGGCACTGAGCATCTTGACTCGGGGGTGCGACTTTGGCAATAAGCACGAATCGATTGAACGGGACGTGTTTACATTCAATAAGAGAAACGAAGACATTTGCAAGCAATTGGATATGGAAACACTCACACGGCAGATGCCCATCGCTTATTTAGATTAGCATTTAACCAAAGAGTCTGTTGAACTTAAACTTAAGTCAATGAGAAATAAGTTCTGCAGTTCTGCTTAAATGAGAAAATAATCAATAGAAAAAAAATTTCAGAGAAAAAAATCATGGAAATTTTGATGGATAAAAAATTGCGCTACTGAAAACATGAAACAAATATTAGTTTTCAGAGCTGCAGAAAAATCAAAGAAAAGTGCAACAAAACTTCAGAGAAAACATACCAAAATTGATGTAGAAATATCAGTAGAATTAAAATGAGTGTTCATTTTCTCATTGTGTCAATTATGAACATCGAGAACTTTGGAGATTTTTTCAAATCCGTCTACGGCTGTAAAGTTAATTGCTTTTTCCTATCCGAATTACGGCTATAAGTGTTCTTAACTTCTATGAGGTATTTTGAAGCGGTCAAAACATCTCGTAAAAAATCACAGAATATGACATGAGTGTTTGCCATTTCGTTATGTGGTTAAAAAACATGCTAAGCGCTTAGATTTCAAGTGAATCTCGTTAAACGATGTCAAAATAGTCAGCGTACAAGTTTCGTTTTGTAAACTTTTATATTAATACTTTTCCATCACTTAGAAGAAAAAGCAATTAAGGTGGCAATTTGGTATAAAGACAATTTTATGAAAATTGGTGGTCAGAACTTAATAAATGTACACAAAAAATTACCTGCAAGACAAACAGTTATAAATGATTATTAAAACTTACACATGCGTAAAAACAAATTATTATCAACTTGAGCAATAGACACTATAAAAGTCTTTCATTTAACGTTTTCCATTGTGAGTTTAAAAATTTGATTAAAAAAGAAAAAAAATTGAGCTACTTATTTTAGGCAATGTTAAATAGTACTAGAAAAATTTAAGGTAAAATCAATCTCACTTCCAAAAATTTTGTTCAATTTCATTAAACTTTTGAGCCATTTAGCAATTTCGAGCTGAATCTTAACCCGAGATCTAGTAACGTTGTTATTAAATAAAAAAATTTGCTTCTCATCAAAAATTAAACTAGAATGAGATCTTTGAGGAAATTGAAGTTCATGAGAAATACGAAAAACTGCTATACTTGTATAGGGGTAAGGCGTTCACTTTGAGATCGTCAGATTGTTTATTCGGTCCTCTGCCATGACAATGATAGTGCGTGAGCACGAATTCTGGCTTTGACTTGAACTCCAGATTCAGTTCTACCACAGATCGTTCAATTCCGGCTGCAATAGTGGTTTCATGTGAAAAACTTCGGAGTTTAAAAACTGCCTTGGATCGCAAAAAAGAGCTTCCAAACAAAATAACTAGGTCTGGATTGAGGGAAAGTAAAAAAAAACGGACTATGTTTAGACAAGCAGCATACCTTTTCATAAATCCTCGTTACGGTTACTGGCAATTTTATGCTAGCAACAGACTTGAGTAGAAAGAATTGTCTCGTATTTTTATATTTTCATTGAGGTTTCGAAAATCTAAAATTACGAGAAAATTTTTCTACTCAAGTCTGTTTCAAGCATAAAATTGCCAGTAACCATCTGATTATATTGGAACTAGTTATGACTTCGATGCCACTATTTTTGTCATTAAAAATTATTAAGAAAAAATCTTTTTTTTACGCATGCTTATTGACTTTTTTGTTCTTCTTCCCGCGTGAACCTTTATAAAATCATTAATGCAGTCACTGCAAATTCAAGTTTATGGTTGTAAATTTATCAAAATCAACGTGAAACGATTTGAACACGGGTAAATTTGAAATCAAATATACGTATCTAAAATCAGCGAAATTTAGCTTGGGAGAGTTTAAAGACTATGGAATCATCATTTTGGGATGGAAGGTAGGGTAACGCTGGCCGCGCGCTTCAACTGTTGCTTTTAGAGTGAATTTAGTCTTTGTCTCCTGATTTCTTAGCTTCTGATTTTTTTGATCCGGACTTTTTTGCTGTTGACTTCTTCGCTAAAGAAGAAGCTTTCGTTTTTTTGTCGCTTGATTTTTTGCCGCCAGATTTTTTTCCAGATTTTTTTGCTCCAGATTTTTTGTCTCCCAATTTTCCGTCTCCTAATTTTGTGTCTCCGTCAGCTTGGGTTCCGTCACCGAAATCATCCTGGCCGTCATCGGCTGCCGATTTTCCGGCATCTTCGTTTTCGGCATCTTCTTTTTTGGGCTCTTCATTTTCAACTGCCGATTTTTTGGGAGTGGTTTTGTTCGGATCTGTCAACAGAGTTCCTTCGGACGCGCAATACTCGTGGAGCTGCCATAACAAAATCGGGTTTGCGACCGCTTTGCAACCGCCTGCGACAAGAGTTAAGCCTAGGAGAACTTCGTGACTGACAATCGTCTGGTATGTGAGGGGCTTGAAAAGGATGTATAACCATCTGCTTCCACTGGCCAAAAGCAGGGCGAAGATAAACTGAAAGCAAATTATAAGCGAAAGGCCAGCAAAAAAACGAGCATCTCATATGTTTATCTAAGAATACCGACTAAGCGCAAAAATTCACAAAGCTCTGAGCGCAATGAAACAGGAAGGTTGAACCTTGATAAAGATAAATGCGACTTTTTATGCATTACCGCGAGTTAGCAAGATCTAATTGGCTGCAATTTTTCCAAATAAAGGATCTTTTTGGAGCTTCAGGAAAACTCGGAACATCGTTTTCGTCCACCAATAATATAAAAAGTGAACATAGCCAATCGAAGATTGGAAAAGAGTAATGAGCGCAAGAAAACTTTTGAATTTCGAAGAAAAATAGGTGGCCTTAAAGCTCTTTGAATTTGTAGAACAATTTATCAAGGACACTTTTTTGTTGAAATTAACCCAATTTGAGAAAACTGGATCAATAGGCAAACTTTTATTTCGCTGGGAAATGTGATAATTAATATTTTCGAAATTAGAAGTCGATCACGTTTTTCGTGACCATTACATTTTTGCTGTTCGATAGTGGAGTTTGCCTTCCTTTTAACAATAGAAATGCACTGAACTTGAAAAGAAATCACAAATCAAACCGCGAAAAATCAAAACTCAGCGTGAACAAATTTTAAATACTTTTTCCTAAAAAAAACAAAAAAAAATCAGCATAATCTATAAGCAAAAAAAAACAGAAAAAATCAGCAAAACTATGTTCATTACTATTAATTAGATTTTCAAAATTTAGCGACCAACACGTTGATAAAATCCTAGATCTACTTCTGAGTACTAGAGCTATTTATTCACAAATTTTCGAATGAATCTTCAACTTACGATATCTACTGTGACTTTTGTGTCAAAATCAACCCCGCCCTGATTCTTTGCTTTCTCATTTGTGTCGTCAGTTATGACCCTGAAATTTTATCATAATTATTTAAGGCTGAGCAAAAACTTAATAAATTAATTTTCGACTCACTTTTTGCGAGAATAAATCTTTCCAATTTTGTTCATCCATATTATTGTCAAGGCCAAAGGAGCAGCCAGTACTAAAACATATAATTAAAAAATTAAGACTATTAAAACCATAATTATTTTGGCATTGCTTATTGAAAAGAAGTTTTGATTAGCGTGTAATAAAGAAGAGTGATATATCAACTCTGAAGTCCTTCAATTGTGATTCGAGCGAGTCCTTTTTATCTTAAATTATCCTTTTTTTCCACGGTGTGACGCCAGAAGCCCGTTAATTAGCCTTCATTAATTTCAGCGCCGAAAGAGACAAAAAATATATATGTTTTTTGTTGGCAAATTCTTCTAGCAGAAGTTTAAGTTACCCATACCCTAAACAAAATACGACAATTAGTTTTTTGTTTTAAATTTTGCAGGCCACCCTTCAAAATTCTACTGCTCTGACCGGATCATGCTGGGCTACTTTTGCAGCAATCGCATGTTCTTGTATTCTTTTAAAATTATGTAAAAATACAATTAGAATAATTGGTGGCTCACAGAAAAGAATGTGCAGGATGGCGGATCCAATGTTGCCCGAGACGTGCCCGAAGCTGTACTCGCAGTAGAACAAGGATGTGTCTTCTATTTCCAGACAGCAGATGCAGGCCGCTATTCCAAGTATAGCCATAAAAATGGCGCTAAAACGGAGTTGACAAGGTTCAAACTAATTAGATAAATTTCTAAAACACAGAGGCGAAACAGCGCGATCAAAAAACATAAGGCCAGAAAAAATAAAATTCTCCACATATTTGAACTAATATCATTGAAAGAAAACTCGGACAACAAACAATGCTCAATGTTCGTTTGACAAAAAACCATTTGATGTATTCAATTCAGAAATCACATGTGATAAATGGGATTTTTTTTTTTCAAATTTATGTCATTACGAGGCCAAACTGTGCACTGGATAGAAAAACTGCAAACATTTTCTCCTTTTTTTTTGAAAAGTAGTTAATTACTTTCGCAAAAATGCTTACGGAAATTTTAAAAAAAGTAGCCAACTAATTGACAATTTTATTTTTTTTCAATTACGATCAAACATTTTTTTCTAGAAATCACTAAAATTAAAAAACTTTTTTGAAAACTAACAATCAAATTGTCTTTATCATTGTCAAGATCCAAAGGGAGCAAATTTTCAAAATCAGGATAAAAGTAGAGATCAAAACTTGTCGAATTGAAAAATTTTAATAAAAACAAAACAAAAAAGAACACGACTAAGTTAAAACTAAGTTCAGTTGGTGCAAAAAAAATTTAAAATAATTGTTTAAATGATACTTGAAAGAAGTTGAATGGAATTTACCCTAAGAAAATTTAGAAAACAGTTAGAAATTTAAAATTTAAACCAACAAACAATTTGAAAAGACAACAAAAAATAAAGCCATTTAGCTGAATTGAATAAGAAAAAAACTAAATACAAAAGAAAGTTAGGTAAACTAAAGTAACTAAATACATAAGAAAGTCAAAAAAATTGACAAAAATAGCTTCCGAAGTTTCTGCAGTGCTCAAAGTTAAAAGTAAGCTAGGGTTTGCTCATAAAAAAATCTAACATTGAAGAATTTGTGATGTAAATGCTAATGCACTCAGAGAAATTGGAAAAAAAAAATTCAAAAAAATTTCAGATTTCAGAAAAAAAATCAATTTAAAAAACCTGAAGATCAAAGATGAAGTCATTCACGTTTTTTTTTTGCTCCAAATGACCTTTCATTACTCGAAAGCATATATTGCTTTTTTTAGCAAATGAATTTGAATTAAATTTATTTAAAATTAAAGGTTAAATATGAAAAATCAATTTAAAAGGACAGCAAAGTTTAAACGTTTTTCTAACAAAAAAAAACTGAACATGACCTATAAGAAAGGCAAAACACTTCGTATTTTAACAGTAAAATAGGTTTTAAAAATTAACTGATTCTAAATTGCAAATTTGAAAACGTCATAGCAGATTTTGATTCAGGTTTATGAAGCGGAAGATTATTAAATTAGTTAAATTGACAATTTTGTGTGAAAGTAGCAAGAAGGTTCCGCCTCAGTAATATAAATAAACCTTTTTAGAAACTAGCAAAACAAAAAAAATAGAAATTAGAAGAAAAAAATATTCCGAGAGAGTGCTGCCTTCAAGGTGGTGAAAATGGATAGAGTTGGATAACAAACAATTTATTTTTAAAATTGTTATTACAAAGTTGTCAAACTGGATTAAATTTGACTAAAAAAAACTAAAATTGAAAAAATAAATCTCCAAAACGTAGCCAAAATTCAGTTGGGAAAGAAAATCACCAAAATCAAGCAAATATACAGTTAAACATGATTCAATGAAGGCAAGGAAATAGAGAAAGAAAATGATGACCAATTTTTTGGGAAATCTTTATTTGTGAAATTTAAAGAAAAAACAGACGCTCTTAAAGCTTTTTGATTTATTCAAATAACTTATTATTGACACTTTTTTCATATGTCAAACCGCAAAAAAAAACAAATCTGATCCTGAACAAATTTTCAGATTCTTCCTGAAAAAAAGGACAAAAACCGTCGAGACTGAAAACTTTTCAAAATTCAAATTATGAAATCGAAAAATGGCTTAAAACGTTTCAATATGGTACCGCATTAGTCGACCGTAAAAAGTTTTTGACGCAGTCAAAATTCCCTGAAACAAACACCCCTGCGCCATAATTTTTGTTCATTTGAATGCTGCGGACAGAAAGTTTAAAGTGAAGGTAAAGAAAACTCATTTTATTTTCAAACATTTATTTTTTTGTAAGTAATTTTTACTTCACCTCAAAGTTTTTAGAGTATTTGATTTGATTTTTTTTACATAGATTTATTCAATTACGCACTTAGTTTCCGTGAAACTTTCTTGAATGATCTTTTTTGGCAAATTAGGACCAGTTTGAAAACATTGGGTTGCTAAATTTTTGTCGAGAAATCTTTAAAAATAAAGAAACCTTTTTAGAAATTTTTTCAGTAAATGCCATTATTAAAAAAGAGCAAAATTTCAAAATCATGAAAAAAAACTGAAATAGAGATCAAAATTTATCGAATAGAAAAATTTTACTCCAAACAAAAACGAAAAACAATACGATTCATTTGAAGCTAAGTTTAATTGCTGCAATAACAATTTTCAAGAATTTGTTTACCTGATAATCGAAAAAGGCAGAATTGGTTAATTAGAAGAGCTAAATGTGTTTTACCCTTAGAGCATGTTTAATTAGCAAAATAATTAGAAACTAAAAATTAAGTAGCCAAAAATATCTACTCAATGCTCGGCAGTGCTCAAAATAAATATTAAACTAGGGTTTGATCATAAACACGTGTGACTTAGAAGAATTCTCTGACAAATTCTTGTGATCAAAATCTGGCTGCCATGACCTGTCGAATGTATATTTCTTAAGTGATTTCTTAAGTAATTTATATTAAAGAGTCTTTCAAGTCTACTATAAAAATGCATGAGATAAACGTTAGCGTTAGAATCTCAAACGTTAGAAGTTTTTTCGAACTTGGGCATTTTTTGCTATAGAAATCACGATACAATTGTGTTTTCCTAAACTACTACACTTGACAACCTGCAAACTTTCTTATGGTACCTAAATTGGATCGCCTAAAACTAAATCAGAAGACCCTTGTTAGTCTTATCAGAAAAATTATGTTCTATTTTTTACTCGTAAAAATTTGTGACTTGCAAATCAATGCTTGCAATCTAAAACAATTCACCTTCAATAAGAAATCAAGTCTACATAGCACAGTTGGCAAAGAAGCGGTCCAATTCTTAGCGAGATTTTTCAATAGAAATGATTGAAATTTCCAGGACCATAATTCTGAACGAGAACTTGTTTCTGTGCTCTCCGTAACTTTCAAGAAAAATTCAATTGTCATCGTAGTTTCAAAAACTAGCGAAATTACGAAAAACTTCATGAGAAAAACCAATAATTCTCCAAAATTTATGTAATGGGAACGTTTTTCTGATTCTTTTGTTCGGAAAAAGTCAAACTGTGGGGGAAATCGAACACCAATAAAAAGTTACGACAGTCACTTTAATTCTAGGCATTCTCTAAAAAATAATGTTATAGAACTTCAGCAACTGATTCGCGATTTTTAAAATGTTGATAACTAACGCGTATATTCTTGCGTTTAAGTCCCAGTGTCTGTAACGTAATGCCTCGTCTGGTCGAGATAAGATAAATCGATATCGTCCCAAGATAAAAGTAAAGTTCCAGATACTGGCACAAGCAAAGAACCAAAAGAATGTGTCGACATATGGCAGAGCTCCGAAAGAGTAGAAAACTGAAACCGAACTTAAATGATTTTCGTTGAATTCAAAAGATTTAGATGCAAAAGTGAATTGCATAAAAACAATCGTCTGATTGTTCCTCTAAACTATTTTTAAGCTTTTAAACACTGAATGAGGATTTTTAGATGCATTTTATAATACTTACTTAAGCTAAAACCAGAAAAGATGTCCAGAAGGCACTGACATATAGACATTTTCACTGCCATATCATGTCTCAAATCTTCTTTTTCTCGTGTAATGACATGTAAAACTGCAGAGCTCGCAAAAAGAGCAATAGTTCCGATGCACGCACAAACTAAGCCAATGGTAAAAGAATAATTATTACTTGAACCTGAGCATAGAACATTTTCGCTCGATACAATTTTCATAACTTTTCATATTCCTGTAATTTTATTTTTCTAATCGTCCATTAGTAACCAGTGGTATCAGCTACCGCTTCGCAAATTATTAAAAAATAATATTCAGAAGTCAAACTGTGAACGAACCATTGTCAGATTTCTGACTTCTGGACATTTAAAGATCGACATTTATGCGCAATGGTTTTCGTTAGCATGTTTTCGGCGAATGTGAAACGTCGATATTTCAGCTCTGCAGTATTTTTTACTCGTAAGATTTCACGCCGACCTGGAAAATATTTCTTCATTGACTAAGTTTTTTATATTGTCCTAAGAAAAGTCGTTCAGCGTATCATTTATGTGTTCACCTAATAAAAAAAACTGTTCAATGTCCAATTCTGTGCATTAATTTCTTTGGACATCAACAGCATGTTTTGATAGTTGTTTCGTAAGGTGTAAGCTGTTTTGATAAATTGGTGTACATTAAAAACACACTGTACATTAAAAACACACTGGTTTCTGGGCTGAGGTACTTTGCGGCATTTAGTTCAAAGTTTTACCTGAAACCGTCTTCAGCGTAAAATTTACGATTGACTGCACAAAAAAATACGGATGCCATACATGCTAGCTGACCTTTCAACCTCTTGAAAAAAAAATTGATAACAATGCTAGAAGTTTTAGGAACAGAAAACAAAACGCATCGCAGCTGAATCAGAGAAGCTCCATTATAAACAGACTTTAAGGTATCTTAGTTGGTTTTCAAACGCATGCATGAAAGCTTGATATTTTGGAAAAATTAGCCAGGGAAGCATAAAATTTATTCTAAATTGTTTCAAGAGACCCAAAAAAAAACTCTTTCTGCAGCCAAAAAAATCGACAATTGTTTCGGATATTTTTGTACACCCTTCACGAGAAAACACTAGATCCACCTCCTACTTTAATGGAAGTAAAAATTTTGCCTTCCGCTCCAAAATTCTCCTCCAAAGTTTGAGTATAATTAGCCTTCTGCAAAAATCAATCCAGTTGAATTTGATTTCTTACTAAAAAATTAATAAAAATTTACTCTCAAAAAACGGACCTTGTTTAGAAAAACACTCTGACTGGCATACAAAGATAGAAATTGGATTTCTCCTTGTGCGATCCCCTAGACAGATAAAATAACAGCACTATCACTTATTCTTTTTTGTAAAAGTCTGCTTTTCTGGAATTATTGAAACTTGGATCACATTAAGTGAAGGCTATCTTTTTCGAAAAAATTGTCCAAACGGCTACATTTTGTTCAATTGTTTTCGTAAAAAAATAAAGAAAGAATTGGCGGCGGACTAGTTTTAACTGCTCATCAGTCAGTGTGTATATCTCTAAATCGAAAAAATTGCTCCGTCTATATGGGGGGAATTTTTTCGATTTTAACATCTTAAGTTCAAATGGACTTTTAAAAATAAAAAATTGGGAAATTTCAATAAATTGTTTGGCGAATTGAGCATTTATAATTGAAATTTTACCAAATTGCAATTTTTTTAAATTTTCTTGGTTGATTGTAACGTGCGCTTCAAAAAACACTATAAATTTCTCTGCTTGAAGACATTTTACAAGAGTTTGGGTTAAACCAATCAGTTCAAAAACAAAGCACACCAAGGGAAATATACTTGAATCAATTATATCATTGAAAATAACACGCCGCAGGAGTTTAAATTTTTGCTTGCAACGAATTTGACAATCATTTCCTTGAATATACGGCAAAGGGTACCTTCATTCAAACCAAAAACAAAATACTTCAATATCGCAGTTGAAAAATTGTTAATTTACCTGAGTTTGGTTTCATGCTGGAACTGGCTTGGCTTCAAGTGTTTTTATTGAAACTTTACCAAATTGCAATTTTTTGTTTGCTTAGGTGATTTTAACGTGCACTATAAATTTGGTTAATAATTTTTCTCTTTGTCAAAAAGGTTAATTCAATCGGTTCAAGAACTAACGCTCACCAAGGGCATTAGACTTGATTTAAAGTTATCATAAGAAAATAACAAGCAGCAAGAAATTTAATTTCTTCTTTTGATAAATCTGATCATCGCTCCGTTAAATTTACCTCACAACGTACTTTCATTCAAAACAAGAACAAACTACCTACAAAGCGCAGTTGTAAAAAAGTTAATTTAACTGAGTTTGGTTAAAGGCTTGAATCGTCTTCGGACTTGAATGTTTTTTTTTGAAATTTACCGAAAGGAAATTTTGCATTTTCATGGGTGATTTTAACGTTCACTATAACGGCACAGCTCACTTTCAATCGAAAAAAGAAGAAATTCCTTACAAACCGCAGTTGGGAAAATTCCTTACCAACCGGAGTTCGGTTTCATGCGTGATTTGTCTTTGCACTGGAATCATAGTCCCTGTGTTCCTTAAACATTTCTAATTTGTTTTTTCTTGTTAGTAAAACTGTCGAATCAAAAACGGGTCTCATTGTGCCTCTTAAAAAGCAACGCAAACTTATTCGAGAATGTGATTTTTTAAACGGACCTTTTTGAATTGAATTGGAAACGTCGCTATTTAGAGATTATGTAACGAAAGCATAAAATCAGTTTCGATGAAAAAAGGGAACTTGACCGGAAAATGGGATAAAATGCTGTAAAAACAAAAAAATTGTTTTCAGAAAAAATCAATTTTATCAATCAAACTCAATTTTATCAGTGTATTTCAAACAAAATACAACTTTGGCACAAAGAAATAGAAAGCTCTTGATTAAATTATCGCATAGAAAACTTAAGCAGTACTACCTTTTTTATTTACATGGTTTATCTGATAAATTATTTTAATGCTTATTTGACTAACAAAGTATCGATATCATGTATTGATACTCTAATAATGAACAAATTTGTAGATGTTTAATGGAAAGTCTCAGCTAAACTAAACTTGAAGATTTAATTTGGGTTGTATTATCAAGGTCAAATAAAATAGCACCTCATTATTGAATTCGAACCGCTATTTTTAAACAACTTTGAAAATTTTTGGGACCTCAAAGTAATAAATTTTTAACAGCGAGTATTGAAATAGGAAATTGTTCTTAATGGTGTTGAAAAAAGCAGTTATAATTCCGATACTTGAAAAAAAATCCTAGACCATCAACTTCTTTCATTGTACCGTCCTTTAACTAGCCTTGTATTGCTTTCTAAAATAATTTTAAAAAAACGAATACACCTGCGAGAAGTAGAACACGTTACTACTTTGGGTCTCATATATAATAGTCAATCTGCATAAAGATCGAGTGTTTCAACAGAAACGACATTATGAACACGTCTAAAGATATTTGCAATTTTATAGACTCAAATAATTACCTGATTTGGATTGGCCTAAACTTATTAAGAGCGTTTCATACGCTTCAACGTGATTAATTACTCCGAATTTCGAAGAAAAGTATTGGAATCTCTAATAACCTCTTGAATTGGTTCAGATCGTATCTTAGTAATCATCGACAGAAAGTTTACGTTGAACTAAGCTTTTAGGATAGACTTTATCTTGAGCATAGTGTTCCTTAAGGCTCGATCTTAGAACCTCTCTTATCTTGCATCTTTTCTTCTTTTCGAAACATCTTTCAAAATCTCAATACTTTCTATCATTATTCTGTGTAGCTGCAAAATTTAAAGAAGATTATGTTAAGAAAAGTTGATTCGGTTATAACTAATGTGCAAAAATGTTGGCATGGTGTGAACCCTGATAAAATGGGAGTGTTTTGCGGGCAAAAACTAGCTTGAAATGAGAACTGGGATTTTTTTTGTTGATTCATATGAAATTTTTGGGTTAACCAAAATAAAAATGGGTGAAGCCAAGTGTTGAACCAATTGCGATACAAACAATTGTGTCAGATTTACAAATAAATTGCGAAGAGAAAAAGAATAGTTTCAAAAACTTCACAATACAAAAACGCAAAAAAAACTGAAAATTTGAAAATCTTTGAACGCAATTACTTGCACAACCCTGTAAAACTTTAGTACCTGGAAAAAAATTTCAATTGCTAAAATTTGCTCAAAATATTGGAAAATTTTCTGCTGAGGCAACTACGCCAAGAAAAAATTTTAAAAAACAGATTTTGGACAGATTCGAACTACGGATTAGCGCCTTGATTTTGACTTTGTATTTTAACCGAAAAGTCAATTGATTCAAAATTTTTGGTTAGACTAGTTGCTAACCTTAGTCTATTTTCTGATTTGTTAATGCCTACTAGCCACCAGCGTAAGAAAGATAAAATATCAAACCACTGAAATACTTTGTATTTTTGGAAAAATGTCAATAAGTTTCGCGAAAACAATTCGAAAGAAGCCAATTAATGCAAAAAAAACTATTTTCGAGTTTAAAAGTAAGAAAAAATTGAGCCAAAAACGTTTTGAATTCTAAGACCATTTAAGGATCGACACTTTTTATGAAAAAATTAATTCAATCTGAGAAAAATTGATTAATAGCAGTTTTTTATTCCGCTTTTGAAACTAGAAGTCGTTCACGGTTTTTTGCGGCATTTCCTATTAGATAATTAGAGAGCGCAATTTACTTAAGAAGTAGGAGATAATTTGAAATTGAACTGAAAAGAACATATATACCAAAGTTCATTCATAAATGCAATATGTATCAATGCAATTTTGTAGTTATTAGAGCAATTAGTTGAAAAAACCAATTAAAAAAACAACATGACTTATATTACAGTTTTCAGCGGCTTAAGGTCAAAAAATTTTGATTGCAAGTCTGATTGAGAACAATCATTTTGGTTTTTCTGACATCTTTACAAGTTTGCATCTGTTTGTCATATCAAAAACCAAGTTGTGACAGAGTAAATTAAAACAATGCTATCTACACATAAAAGTTTACTTTTTCATTGTTTTTCTAAGAACTGACATTCTCTGTTTGTGAGCTTCGTTGCCCATATTCTTCCTGGATGAGACATTAGCACCCTTCGTGAACAGATTCGAGACTCCTGAGGTGGTGTCGTCTGGGTTGCTCTCCGAGAAGCCGGGAATCCACATGTTGTAGTTCCTCTCTGTCGGCAAACCAAGAGAGATTATTAAACTTAAAAAATGATCAAATCGTTTCCAAAGACGGTTTCAAAAAGTCTAGAATAAAAAATCAATAATTTAATGCGATGCAGCAACTGGTGCATGGAAACATCAAATGATCAAAATCGATCTCATGCACACAAACGCTTTTTAATGAGTTCATATACCTAAACATAATTGCACGTCTGATGTTTCCAAGGTGGATGCATTGCGATGTTGAGCTATTTGACAAGATGTTGTAATCGTCTTCTCAATAAAGTCATCCGCAATCTAAACAAAAACATTCCTTTTCCATTTCAAGCTGATATCAAAAAAGCAGCAACTTTCGGCCTTCACTTTGTTGCAAGTACTGTCGCGCAAACTTTTCTACTAAATAAGCAACAGTAACACATAGCCAACATACAGTTGGAAAAGTGTTAATTCAAAACCAAAAAACTAACTGATCGTTGCCTTTTTCCAGAAAAAAATACATCACCTAAAAGCTCTTCATTTATTTTTCTGATAAAAACAAACCCAAAACCAAAAAATGGATCAACGTTTTCTTATATAGCTCTACGAAATCCCAAGAACACTCAACAAGCTGCATTTATATCGCCATTTGCAAGTTATCAGAGAGTGTTATTTGCCTTCAATTTAGCAAAGAAAACTGATTTGAAATGGAAAAAAATGATATATACCTAAGTGCATTCATAAATACAAACACAGCTAAATACGGCAAAAAAAAAGATTTTTGAAAAGCAAAAAAATAAAAATAAGTCTAAGAAAGATGCTTTGAAAACTACAAATGAAAAACATGAAGCGACTACTGGATTCCAACAACGGACTTCTACAATATGACTCTTTCACCTTCGTCATTGACCCATTGGCCTTTGCCTCCTGTGTAGTTAAGGCATCCTCAAATCAACAGCCAAAACTGTTTCGAAAACTGATTATCGTTCGTTAGCGGTAAAAATCAAGATTGGCGAGTAAAAAACACTAATTTGCTAACGATTCAAAAAATAACGTATAGAAACGATTGAAGACATTTGCTTCTTGTTGTTTTTTAACCCCGGTCCTACTCAATGGAGGACCAATCGCGAGGGAGGAGGATACCATCAATTTCGCAGTAGCCGGTCCCACCACCTTGAGGAGGCGTGTGACCCTGCCACCCATCCAACCGTGGCTGAAGTGGTATTCGATCACACGACCCTCATGTTGGGAGACGTGTGTCTTACCCACTCGGCCTTGTCGTACTTTTTGTCAAATCTGCCAAAAAACGCTATTTCGAATGCGACTATTTGATAACGGTCAGATCTCGTTCGAAAAACTCCTGAAGTTCAGTTCATGACTTTTCAAGGAGAGTAGATGCCGTTAGCGTTAGCGACGTCTTCTAGCGGCAGCCTAGCGAGGTTTAAATTAGCAGAAAGTGATTTAGCCTTGACAACTTTCTCATTAGCGATCACACATCTGCCTCTAAAAGTGAATGCAATCAGCAATGAATACGCTTGCTACCGTTAGAGCGGTATACTGAAACTGACCACATTAGTTGAAGACAAAAATGTCAGAAGAGTTTGAAAAAATGAACAAATATCATAACTGCGTTTTTTGGTACAAAGAAAGAACAAAAACGAATTGAGCGAGAACAAATTTTAAGAACTTTTTATTTGCTGGGAGAACAAAAACAAACGGCATAATGCGAGAACATGCACTTCGTAAATGAAAATTTGATATTTCAGCTCCAAAGAAACAAAAGTTATCCAAAAACATCTAAGAATTGTTAACACCTACCTCTAAAAGAAGATTTTGCACGTCTTCATCTAGCTGCTGATTCGGATCGACTTCACTAAAATATCAAAATTTATTATCATGATTACTCATATATTCAAAACAACGAATAAACTATAACTCAATTTTATTGGTGGCATAACATAGAAACTATAGCAAGACTAATCTTTACCGAAAACGTTAACAAAAATTGTCTATTATAAGCAAATATCACAGGAGGCTCTGATCACAATTTTTTGAAAAAGTTAGTTATTGTTCCGACTCTTCTCTAGGAAGGAACTATTGTGTTAGGTCTGTTTTTTTTATTCAAGTCGACTTTGGATATCTCAAAGGGGGTCGTAAGTATGGTATCAAATGATAAAAGCCTATGATAATGTTTCTATTATCTTGGTATTATTACTAATATAGTATCTTGTTGTTAGGAATAAACTCTTATTTATCCCGTCTTTTCTCGGTTCGTCCAAAACGTTCTGTCTTCTGCAAGGTGAATAACTCTTCTGTTCTACGGCTGAAAAAAAACATATTAGTTAGCTCCGTAATATGGTGGTGATGTTTTCAACCCATCAGGACATGTATGTGTCGTGATGGGCGCGTACATTGTACCCTAGGCTATAGGGGCGAGCTTTTTCTGTCTGCTGCAATGCTTCCCGGAATAATCAAGCAAATGTTCGGTAGCCGTTCTTTCTTTTTTCCGTCCATTGGCCAAAGGGTGCTCCAAACTTGTGTTGTTGGATGGTGCGGGCTAAGATATGCTGGCTACTTCCTCTATCCATACATCTCAGTAAAAAAAGTTCTAGTGAGAAGCGTAGACTGGCTAAATTTCATTTATTTTCTTCTACAAAACTGTCATTTCTTCTACATGAACTGGATAATTCAAATGAACTAGACAAGGTGTCTCTTTTGCCCTCTTTTTATTCATTGAATACCAACGATTATTTCAAGCTCTTTAACCAATTTTGTGGCACCATTCCTATCTCTTTCATTATTCATTATGATTCCTCAACAGCTGACGACGCTAAAGGAAAAGCTGATCTTTTTAACACTTTCTTGCTGTCTGCTCTTAAACCTGAAAGCTTTGTTTTTCACAAATACGGTATTAGTGTTATCCCACTTTCCCATTCTCTGAAAAGGACATTATTGTTCTGTTACATGATGTACCAGATACTTCAGCAGTGGCAGCTGATGGCCTTACGCCATTTGTGCTGAGCCAGAACGCCAAAGTTCTTTCCCCAATCATTTACATTCTTTTCTCTTCTATTATTTCTGGCTGTTCTTGGCACAATGTTTGGAAAGAAGCATAGCTTAACCCATTACATAAGTCGAACTCAAAACCAGACGTTACTAACTATCATGGTATCAGTATCCATCCACGTTTGTCTTTGTCTCAAAAACTACTTATTAAATTTATGTTTTCCATAGTTCCACATAAGCTGTATTATAGCCAACATGGTTTTATGAAAAACTTTTAAATTACATTGACAAACTTAATAGTTGCAATAATTTTAATGAAGACTTTTATGCTGTCTACTTCGACATGCAAAAAACAATTGACACCTGGTCTCGTAATGTTTTGCTGAACAAATTTACAGTTTTTCATTTGACGAAGCGTTTATCCGTCTCATTTCCTCCTATTCGTCGAATCTCATTGAGAGGGTGCGTGTAAGCAATTCTGTCCTTTTAAGGGCGCGTAGAAAGCGGCGTTCCTCACGGAAGCATCCTTGGCCCACCTTCAATTCCTATTTTAAATCGACGATCTGCCTGATGATATAAATCATTCTATTCCATATCTATTTGCTGATGACTAAGAACTTCTATGCAAAGGCTCATGCTTGATTAGTTTAGAGTCTGACATAAACGGAGTCTCTTTGTGGTGTAACATCAACGGATTCGATTTCACCCTTAAATACTCTCAAATGATTCCTCCCCCATCTTCTATTTTAAAAACGCATCAATAGAATTTGTTGAGCAAATCAAAGACTTGAATGTTTTTATTTCTCCAAGCTTATTTTGGAACCACCATATTGGCTCTCAACTTGATAAGCATCCCGCTGTTTTTATTATTTAAGGAGAAATTTTTCATTTAATTCCCCTGTCAAAACGAAGTATCAGATGTATATCTCTTGTGTGCGATCCATTTTTTATATAATTCTTGTATTACATTTTTACATTTTTACGTAAACTAGAAAATCAGAAGAAGAAGGCTGCTCGCTGGATAAAAGGATGCCATGATTATAAATAAGCTCTGGATCATCTGGAGTTCTTGCCAATATGCTATCATCTCATCTTTTCTGATTGTCTCCTGTTCTACAAATTATTGCAAAATTACTATGATTTCAATGTTTTTGATAAAATTTCTTTTGCCTCAAACAAACTTGGGAACAGATCAAACCAGAAACTTCTGTTTTCTGCTCCTGTTTCTCGGAAGTTTTCCATATGATGCAGTTAATTTATGAGAACAGTGGAAAGCCTAAACTATGTTTCAGCCAAATCGAGTTGGGACGTTTATGGCCGCATTAAGACAATAAAACTGACCCTTTGGAAGTTTTGTTCGATGATCTTCAAGCAAAGTTTTCCCTCGACTCTTCCTGCACATTTTTCGTCATATGTCGTTGCAACACAGAACTTAAATAACTTATCTATCTTAACTTTTCTAACAACTCGTCAAAACTCAATTTTGTTTTTAGATTTACCCCAAAAAAGATTAAGTTGTTCTCTCTCTCTCTCTCTCTCTCTCTCTCTCTCTCTCTCTCTCTCTCTCTCTCTCTCTCTCTCCTTTCTCTGCATCTCGTTTTTGTTTGCTCCTTTCCACTGTTTTCTCGAACCTCTCGATTGCATTTTCCACCGCAGAAATAAGAAAGTCGTCACCTGGCGTTTTCTAGAAATTTTTTCATGTATTATTCATGTTATTCTTAGGTTTATTATTCTGAGCAAGCAGCATTATTGTTTTTGCGCAAATTTTTTCCAATGAACCTAACAATTTGGTTTCACCCGGCAGTGTCAAACTTTTTTCCGATAAGCTCTCAGATTCGGGCCAATCTGCTTTTTTGAGGTAGAGGTTTGGTCTATTTTTGATTTTGTTCACTTTGTCACATGAGTATATCAGGATGGGTAGATAGTCCGATCGCACTGATTAAATAGTGGTCTAGTTCTTAGATTCACGCTGGACGAGTACACAGACAAAAATGTCAGGCGCGGTACCTGATCCTTGTTATCTAATTCGGGTTGCTCCGCAACTATTCAGTAGGCACATCTTGTTAATTATATAAGATATATATGTATATCGGGAGAAATCCCCTCATCATTTGATGCAAATTCGTGATAATAAAAATCATAATAATAATAATGATAATAATAATAATAATTAATGCTGCACGGCCGCCTTTCTAAGTATGGCTTTGAGTCTCTAAGGTCAAAAGAGCCGGACTTTTGGGCGATCGCTATTGTGTCCTCAGTGTATTTGGGGTAGGATCGAGTAAAAATTTGTTTAGATAGGAAACCAGGTGAACTCAATTGAATCTCGAGGGGGTGAAAAACCACCAACCAATCCAGTAAGCAGGTTTTAATAGGGCTGCTTGGGCATTTCAGAGGTCTTGCGAACAAAAAGTGACTAATTTGTGCTCATGACACTTGTAGGAAAACATAAACAGATTTCTCTGTTATGATTTTAATTTACAGTTGTATCATAACATTCACTTTTAATGGGTGCTGATTCAATTGTATAAATCTTTAATTTATCTTATTGTGGTTAAATACGTAGATGGAGACGATCGAACGTTTTTCCAGCTTAGGTACAGCAAAATATTAAAGCCTACACTTCAAGTCCCGAAATATGACCTTACTTGACTAGATCTTGAATTCGACTTCTGTCCAGCAAGTCTGCGTGCTTCAGTTTTGGTTGAGGTCCCATGGGTCCATCTACTGCATTGAACTTCAATTTACTGGCGATTGCACTTCTATTTTGGCCGGGAGGGTCTACACTGGCAACTGGTGGCAGTCTAGGAGCTGTGCTGGGAACCATAGGCCTAGCTTGGATTGTGGGCGGCAGTTGGTTTGAACCTGGAATAATGTGCTGTGGCCTGATTATTGTGCTGGTAGTGTGCGGTGCTCCCTGGGGAAATGATGAAGGTCTCGGAGCAGGTGCAATAGGCCTTACGCCCACAAACTGCTGTGGCTGACCGGGCTGATAAATAATACTGCATAAAATAAACGACAAAAAACTTCGCAACTAATCAAAAACGCGATGTTAAGTCGACACAGCAATGTTTTATTAAGAAGTGAATTTAAAGAAAGGGTTTCATTTCAACTAAACAGACAGACAAAAACAATTTTCAAAAATAGCTGCTTATTGAGTCGAGACATGCCGGTTAAAGAAATATACTTCAGGAATTGTCACGCATACATCAATGTCATATTTCAGAGCAACCTCTCCTCCCACCGTGGTCTGATTCCAAGGAACAGTAACAGCAATTTCTTCATCCAACAAATTCTGTCTCAAATAAACTTCAAGCATCTCTTCATTCACTATATCAAAAAACATCCGTGTAGGATCTCTGCCAACTATTATGACAAACGAAAACCTTGCCGCTACCTCTTAATTATTTCGATTAAGGATATCCCTCTGAAAAGCTTGCGAAAAGAATATTACACGCGCATTAAGCAAGGCGGCTCTGTCCAAGTGTGTACAATGAATTATTGACACAGAGGCGAAGCTGTGCTTCACTAACACTTCCGAGAGCACGACCAAAAAGCCGCTCTATCAAGTGATATAAGAAGTAGAAATATGCCTCGAATTAGCAAAAACTCGGCTACGTGTCGGATTCGAATCTGCTATTGGTGAAGTCCCATTTGTACTAGGTTCATTTGTACCAAAATAAAAAATCGGTCCCATTTGTACTAAAACTATTCAACTCGATTTCTGATTGGTCGAATTGTGCGCCAACGAATTAATACAATAATTTTCTACTGTTCAAACAGAAGAAAACTAAACAGTAGAATAGGGACCGCAACAGTCGCTCCAACATGTTGCAATCTAGAAAATTTGAGTCTGACGCACGGTGCTAGGGATTTTAGCAGACCGGTTTTTTAGCAGACTCAGAACAATTATAAAGTCAGAAGGCTAACTTCAACCGCGGCATTGGCAATTCACGACCGCTTGCTCCGCTGGGCTTCAATTCAACACGAGTGTTATTGTGCGCGTAAATCTTTGTTTTGCCGCTACTTCAGACCTTTGTGTTTTTGAAGTTGATAGTTTTGTTGACAAATCGTGAGATAATTGTCTTAATTGGGGAAGCGTGACCCCAGACTGAGCGGCTTTTTGAGTCTGTCAATTAATCATCATGCATCACTTTATTACGGTGTTCTGCTAAAAGTTTTAGGCTAAAGATATTTCTGCCAAACGATCGGTTCTCCTCACGCACGGATGCTTAAAATACCCAAGAACTAGCCACCAATAAGGTAGCTACATTTGCTAATAAATTGCAAATTCGATGCAGCAGTAGTAGTACCAAATACAAAAAGGCACCATGTAAAAAATTGGAAAACCTAAAGCCAAATTATCTTTAAATAATACATTTCAAAAACAAGAGACATTGTGTTGGAAAATTTCTGAAATCGAGCTTTTTATGACTGTACTGCTGTGTTTGAAACAAATAATTTTCTTCGGTTCATTTGATGAATTACAAATGCATCAGCTGTGTTAACTTTTCACTAATCAAATGTCAAAGCACACATGATATTATACTGCCTGCTATCACAGCCTACCGATTCAAAAGTACCACAAAAAAAACACTTATTTGGACCTAAGGCTGGAAAAGTTTGTACTAAAAAACTTGCTTAGCAAGTGTAAGCAAACAATTAACTGCAATAATTGAAAAAGAAAACAATCATTGATAAGTGATATCGCCAATTACAATTATTGCATTGGCACTTGCCAATTAATTGCAAAAACTGCTGCAAAAATTGGTAAATGGAGCAGTTCATCCACCCATTACGTGGTTGTTTTCGCGAGTGTCCCTTAAGATGGCTGTTTTGATACTATACTACTCGGATTTACGCCGATTGACGAAACATTGACAATGTCGTTGCATTCCATGGCGAAGGTGATTAAAGCCATTTCTCGTCAAACGAACAAGCCGATTAAAGGATGTGCCTCGAATTATTTGTCTTCAGCGGCAAAAGATTATGTAGAAAATACTGAATAAAAATCATTCGATTATGGGATTCGAGGATGTATCAAACCTTACACAAAAACATGTTGACTATTCAATCTGACTAAAGTCCTTCAGACAAAAAAAAATCGACTTAGCAGGTGTCAGATTGCTTTTTGACGAAATGTTCAAAAAGTTCCCCTCCTGGACCCCACAAACTAGTCTCTTGGCCGAAGTGCCCGTATTATAGAGAGAACAAATTTCGAAAGTGATGCTCCAAAATTCTCGAGGGAAGAGAGAATGAGTTGCTTCTGCCCGAAGTTTTGCAGTGCAAGCGTCTTCGAAAATCCGAAGATGCAGAAGATATAGAAACTAGATGAATTTACCACAGCTGAGTTACGAAAACGGAATAAACCTGAAAAATTTAAGAGTATCAGCTGCTAGTTTCTTCAGCCGATGGCAAACGTTATTGACCGATTTTTCAGTGCTGTGGGATATGCTCCAGAGCATCTAGCACAAGAGCTGTCTGTTGAAACTAACAAAACTTTGAGATGTTAAAATGATCTCTGAATCTCTTCATCAGTGTTTATGATGTAGATATAGGTGCTAGTTGATGTACTTTTGTTTTAGTGAGAGCTTTGTTTTATACTGATTGTCAAGAAATTTGATCAATTTAGATTTTTTCCTTCCAATTATTGGTTGTAGCTTGCTAAGTTCAATTATTGCATTGGAAATTCAATTTAAGGCCAATTAATTGCAATGATTAATTGCACAGTCCTGACCATGTGTGTTTATTAAATGAAAGGGAAACGATATCAATGTACCGTGAAAAACTGCTGCGCTTTCGTCAATACGACATCATCAGCAATCTGAAGTAATAATTCGGTTTGATGACAAAGCAAATGGTAAAGAAAAAGATGGTAAAAGGAAAATAGAACAAAGTCAAGGTATTTTTCTCCGAAGCAAAGAAATAGAGGCCGCTATGAACACTAGGTCTATGTAGACTTTCACCCTTCTGGTTCAAAGGGTATGTCCTCTGCCCTGACCATGGACGTGGTGCATATCCTTAGGTGCCTTGCTAAGTTTGACGCGGATTTCCTCCCGTTACATCTCGGACATATAGTCCATTTCTGTTTGTATACGCGGGGTTGATGGTGTTGTTCATTTGCTTCTTGTTCTGGTACCCGGTTTCCCTTGCAGCTCTGTCTTTTGTGGCGTGCCATGTTTCGGGCCTGTAGGGTTCTGTCGCATCTGCCACATGTCTTGGTTCCATCTTCATTGTTCCTGTCTCCCTCGCATGTCTTCTTGTGGTTTTTTTCCGAGTTTTCAGATTTGAAGATAGCTCCGCATTTGTTGCATGCAAAAGTCACCCTCGCCTCTTTGTGCATCCTTTTGATATGGATTCTCAGGCCGCCCTGGTTTTTGAAATCCCTCTCACATATCTCACACGTGTTCGATGTTGCTTGGGGGGTATAGGAGTTCCTTTCTGTCGTTTCACCGTTTTGTCTTTTCGCATTTGACTTTTCCCATTTATGCAGGTGCTCCATTCGTGCTTTCACCGCTCGCCTCCATCCTTTTCTGTCCTGAGTCAGTTTGTCCATCTCGTTCACATCCATTCCCGCTTCTCTGATGAGCTTCCGCCAGTAGAGTAGTGTTTTGTCTTTTTTTCCCGGACATTTCGGTAGGGCTTGCAGATCGTTTAGCCACCCTAGACAAGCTGCTTTAGTCAGTCTTTTGTTGTCCATTCTCATTACATGTCCTATTCGTTTTAGAGTTCTTCCTTCAACTTTCCATCGGATCGTCTTGATGTTCAGTTGGTTTCTGATGTCCTGCATATTCACTCCTTTTTCTTGCATTTCAATTAATGGCGGCTTCAACTTTGAGCTCCAGACGTGCCTATAGCACCGGTCAATCCAACTTTGCAAAGACTGTAACTCCGAGTTTTTCCATGTCCTTACGTTGGCGTCAAACAATAAGCCGCTTTCTACGCAGCATTGGACAACTCTAGCCTGGATTCTTTTCGGCAGCCTGCTTTTTGTCAGCCGGCGCTTGACCTTTGCCCATAGTCCTCCTGCTCGTCTTTTTCTGTTCTTAATGTCTTCTTTCGCCCCGATCCACACTCCTAGCATTCTGATGCCACCTGCTCCGTCCTTTCCGAACTCTAGTTTCTCTTCTTTCTCTTCGTTGTTTTTCTCCTCGAAGTTCTTCATAACTTCTTGTATTGTTGCTGTTCCAGACTCTATTTCTTCCTTCTCGCCGATGGGGGTGGTGTCGTCTGCGAACAAGGACAATGATATTCGTGCGGTTTGGGTTTCTACCATGTTTTTTCCTGGGAAGCGGTTTCCCGGCATCCACGTCCACGCTATCCCGACGTTTGTACCTTTCTCCTCGGCTCTGTCTAGTCTGGCTTTCTCAGCTTGCCGCATTACCACTTGGTGGTATATGTTAAACAATGAAGGCGAAGATGGGCAACCTTCTCTTAACCCTCTTTCGGGGGTCCATTCTTCGCTGTCGCCCTCTTTGCCCTTTATTTATACTATAGGTTGTGGCTTCATGCAAATCCATCAGTGTGTCCAGAAACGGGCCTTCCATCGCGTAGCGCCTTAAGACCGCCCTTAGGACCGGTTTGCTGACCCGCGGATAAGCTTTTGTTAGGTCTAAAAGTCTGGCTTCTGGGTCTGTGTTGGCTTCTACTGAGATTCCGGCTCTTATCCTCCGTCTCCTGAGATCTTCCACGTCCTCTCTTATCCTTATGAAGATCTGGCTTGCGTCTGCCGTGGACCTGCCTGGTCGAAACCCGCTTTGGTTTTCGTCCAATACCTGGAGTTCTTCGCTCCATCTTCTCAGGCGGTTTGCGATCACTCTTGCTAGAATTCTACTAGCCATTGAGAGCAGGCACACACCTCGGAAGTTGTTGGCGTCATTGATGTTCCCTTTTTTGTGCAATGGTACTATTTGGCCTTTCTTTAGAGACTCTTCCCACAGGTCTGCTCTGGTCGTGAACATTCTCATCACCAGGTGGATGACTTTCTCC